TGTCGATCGTCAAAATGATCATCTAACAAACGGAAATTTCTGGCTGTATACTCGATCGACATGGTAGTCTGCCAATAAAAAGAAGACAACGAATAAAATGGCTTTCAGTTGGGCTCTATTCACCATCAAAAAATATCGTATCAGAAGATGAAATAACAAAGTATGTTTTCTCACTGCTGTGCAAACATTGGCGTATCAGCACGGGTCCATGCATTACCAGCCTGAATCCGCTGACTATATAATTACCGTCAACCGGATAGGGGAAATTGTGATGAAATTTTATGATTGATTTTATGATTTGCTAGACGTTATGTCTAGCAAACTGACTCAATGGATAGGGGAAAGAGATCTGATAACATTATTTTAGGGGTGAAGAAAAGAAAATTGTTTGTTCTTCCGTCCATGGTAGGTTACCCCCATTCCTTAAATATGTCAACCGGTCTTTAAAGTTCTCGAATAGTGAAAGAGCTCCATATTAGCTCTGTGTAAACGATATAAACCTGATTTTAGCTGGCCTAACAGACGAGAGTATAATGAAGGGAATTTCTGACAGCACACGAACTTAAATGCTTTCATGCTCTATACTTCAATTCAAGAAATTATCTTAATCAAAGTTGCCATTCTTGCGTCGTCCGTCTGTTTCTCTTTGTCAAGGGTGCTAAACGAAATTGATTTCAGCAAAAAAAGAATAATAATGAATAACAAAACAACTAATTGTTGCAAAATCATTAAATTAAAGCAAATTCCTTAAATGTCTTACTTGTGTCCTATTTCGTGGGCAATGGTGTAAGCCAGTGTCAATCCATTGTCTTCATTCACGTTACAGCTTTTATCTTTGGTGCAAAGACCATTCACTTGTGAAAGACCTGGCAAAAAATAAGTGTCAGTGCATCCGAATTTAAGAAATATCTTGTTATGAAGAGGCATATGACTGTTACAGAGAGTTCTAAACGATGGCCGCATTTAAGTTAATGAAAATTAGGGTACTAACGGGAAGAAGATATGATGTTAAATAATGAACTAGATACGATGGCCCTAACGGGATTTTCCAGTAAGAAGATAGACCATCTCTTAGGGTTGCAAGCAGCCAAAGACACTTCCGTCCCCTCAGGCCATGAACTATGCCATTCATGCACCAATCAGAAGCAAATTCCAAACTAGGCATGCATACGTTTTCCCACGCTTTGCCGCGGATGATGAACTCGAGTGAGTTTCAGCCGAGTGCTTTGAGTGAATTTAACTCAAAGTTTAGTATTTGTCCTCACTTACCTAATGTTTCACAAGGTTCGTTGATTCCTTTGCAGATATCATGTCTGTTAAGAGGAAAAAAACGTTACAAAACACAAACAAAGACAAGCAAATAGCTGTATTGAAATTTCTTTGACGAAAGATATCAGCGTTCATTACTAAGAAGCATGCGATGACGTATAAAATGGTTTAAATTCATTGTATGATATATTCTAGTTTACCAGGTCATTCACGAATTCCAAGGGCCCTCACTTTCAAAATGAGGCTAGATGCACAGCCCTTATCATAAAAGGAATCTTACGTTCACTTTCATAGCATATTTATACCAAGCCTTTGCACCTACCCTTCTCTTGAATCCGAGGCTTGGGGCATCTCGGAATAGAAATGGCCTATTGAGAAACCTGAAACGCACTTGCCTGGTTACTAAAACTGCGATGTCGTGGTGATTTGCATGTTCTTCTGATTTAGGATTTATAAGTGAAGCCCAGCGACAGAAGTGCTTCAGTGTATGTCCTGCGTGATGGGTGACTTTCAAGGCACTCTGAGGATTACCAAAAAAAGCAACGAAATATTAGAACAATTTTGAATTACATTGCAAAAGTAATATGGGATTGCTTTGGTTTTGATTCACTTCCCTTTGTGATTGGTCTGGAAAATTCGCATCACTTTCTCAACCAATCAGATTAAAGCTAAAACCAATCGTGACTCGGTGACTCGTGTTCGCCCGCGTTTCAGACAATCTGCCCTTGTATACTTTGAGTTCTTATTAGTCTCCTCTAAGGCTGTTGTTTGTCACATGAGAACGACGAGCTTTTGACGGTACTAAACAATGGGTACTAATAGGTAGGGTGAACTTGAAACTTGAGGTACGATTGCACTTCCCCGTGCAGGTGACCTCTGTGGTGTCCATACTAAGCTAAGAGTAATATGTTTCTGAATCCCTTATGCTTTCCCCTGGGAATCCTTACCGGGTTTTCCTTCAGAATCACGACCCGCACGAGCACAATGTTGATCGCGGTTCCAATACTTGGGTTACGAAATATGTTGCTCACCTGCAAAATGGGAAAAAAATTACAATGTAAACAATCTTGAACGATTTATTCAATTTCTAAACAAGCACAAACGTGAAATCATATTTTTGCTCGTGAAATTTCACTTTCATAAGAATCAAAATAGTTCTTTTATATTTAAAAACTCCAAACTGTTCTCTTTACCAGCATTTCTTATGGTAAGACAAGGAGAATTTGTTTGACAATCAGTAGCCATTTTGAAATTGGTGATCATTCCTTTATTCTGAATCATCTACATCTACATTTAACAATTATTCACCTCAGGTTTGGTGAATATTGTCGAATAATCCCCGAACCTGAGGCGAATAATTGTTTTAGTATAATTTCAGAGCTGAACAACAGAGAAATTTCTAAAATCATAACATTTTAATAACATTTATTAAACATTTTATTTTAACATTTTATATAAACCGCGTGGAGCGGTTTATATAGCGTCATATAACTTGAAGGAACCGCTCGACCAATCAGATTGCTGGAAACTCTTTGCTCAGCTCTGAAATTATACTAACTACATTTGTGAGAGTCGGTAAAACCTTGAGAGGTATCACACCAACTATAAAAAAATTTAGAAAACTAGAAAACTATTAAATCAAGGGTGATGGCGTATGGAGAAATTAGAAGTCAATCACTCTTAAAGTTAAAAAGATAAAGCATGTAACTTCAGAATGGCTTCACGACTTGGAAAGACTTTGATCATGAAATTGTCTTTTCGACAACTCTTTCTTTAATTCTACTGCAAGATCCGACGTTAATGTTAAGCACTGAGCATTTCAAGGTTTAATTAGTGAATTTCACTTCAAAGTTGCATAATAAAATATATTAAATTCCTACTAATAAGACTTAAAATGTGTTAAAAATGTTTTTTTTTCCCAAGTAGACGGCATTTGCGCGCAGCTTTGCCAACCTACCATGTTCGCTATAGTGAGAAGATACTCTTCTAACCCGTCCTTATAAAACGCATGCATTGTCTTATCAGCTACCATGAGCATCTCCACGTTTTTCTCTGTGCTTACTGACCGTCTTTCACGGCCATGCTGTCGGCTTCTCATCTCGAGGAATGGCGAACGGAGTCGGCGATTCAGGGTTATCGGCTCTTTGAGTGAAATGATAATTTAAAAAAAAATAAGAAAACACTTTTAACTTCCAAAGTTTTTAAATACAACTGTTCTTATCTAATTATTCCTCCCTTACAAAGCCGTAAAATCCTGGGTTGTGAAACCCCTTCACTCCTAGCTCCTATGAACTCACCTTACTCATTTGCCATGCTCATAAGCCCCATTTCGTTCGCAAGCCGCACTCTTCAATCCTACCTTCCTCGATGGCGCACAACACCTTACCTCGTACTCAGATCCTACCGTCACCGCTCGGCCGTGGAAATTCTGGGTACGAGACTAACCTCCCACAGGTGCTCATTCTGTTGTATGTGTCGTTTCGTTACCATCTTACATCGAAATGTGATTTTTGTCTGTCTTTGCTTTTGTTTATTGTTATCAGTTTATTTCGTACCCGCTAATGACACCCCGAATGCTGAGGATCTCTAAGCCACCAATCCCATACCCAGAATTCTTTGCCGTCGAGACTACAATGATATTAGATATTAGATGTAGCAAAATTTCTCATCGAAGCAGTGACATTGTACCTTGATCTGAACATAAATGGTCCTGTTGTTTCCATGGCAGCAGAGAGCCATCAACCGCTGACCTCTTGTGCACAATATGTAAGTGTTGTTTGCTGGCGCGTGTGGCGTTACGGTCTTGAAGAGGTTCAATGAGATAATGAACTCCGTCTTCAGTCTGAATGAAACCTCTCTGAAATGTCAAGATAGAATATAGTTATTAATGTAGCTGAATTGAACTTTTCATTTGCTCAAACTTTGATTTCCAGAAGTGGTTAACGATGTAAGTCGTCTAGGAAGATGTTTTATTTCGACTTGTCACGTACGAGAGACAAAGAAAATCATCTTTCTCATCATATCTACGCACATGACACTTTCGACGCTGCTGATCCTTGCAGAATGCAGGATGCGTGTCACATATGAACCTTGTAATTAATGGTCTAGCTCATTCTGTGGCTCAGGGATAGAGCATCGAAACGAAATATCCAAAGACATGTCTGAGGTTCAATTACTCGTCATTCTTTGTCCTACGCTCGTGATAACACGAACAAACGTCCTCCCCATTTGATTCCCGAGCTCTTGATATATTCGTGTTATTGAGTTTGTCTTAAGAAACGTAGTTCACGCGATAAATAACATTTCGTCTAATCNCCCCACCTCCTCCATTTGCATTATACTTTGTTGAATACTCCTTCCCCCTCCTGCAGGAAATGTATCCCATAATAGTAATTCTAGCCATTTAGTTCAAGTGTAAAGATATACAAAATGCAACAGACCGCATACAGAGCTAACTAGACAAGACGTTAAGTAATAGTTCCTCTTTCAGTACTGATAGAATTACGTCTTGTGGTTAACACACGGAGAAGTAATTTCTCGCTATAGAAGACTGCTGCATGTATGAGTGAAACTGCAGATGGCTGTTTAAATGTTTCTCTGGTTTTCTGATTTTAGAGTTGATTTTGTTGTCGTTGTTACTGTCGCAAAAGCCTCCTAAACCTCCCCTCCTTGCTACGCTAAATACGGCTCTGAACAAAAATCGGAATGGTGCACAGCCCATGGGAAACGGCCAATTGAAATTTCATTATCGAAAAACAAAACTTCCTCTTTCCTGGCGATAAGTGAAACAAAATTTAACGATGAAAAGTGCGGACAAATTATTGAGTGATTCGCATACAACTTAAAACTGAAATTACGTTTGAAATTGTACAAACCCCGAAAATTCTAGAACTCGTGCTCGAGTGAGGTTTCCTTTCGTGCAAAACTTCCACATATTTATTCTTGGTATGAAAAGGCGAGAAAAATTTTGAATTTTCGACATTCTAGGACAGGTCTCACAAAATAGTTGGTGGCCAAATGCGTTTGATGATAAAAGCAATGTGAAAGAAATTAGCCACATCGAATTCCATCTCAAGTGTGTCACACAATATCATTTTAAATGAGAACTTCTTGACCTTGAAACACAGCCCTTCAGGACTTTACGGAAAAGGCACGCATCTGATATTTCCCACTTAAATATCACACGCGTTTTCGATTCTCAAGTGGACAAGGTCAAAATGGTTCTCAAAATGTGGCGCCAGATGTCTTTTCTGGAAAGAAAATAACATTTTAACACGAAATCAAACTCTGTGGATTGAAAAAAATACCCCTCTGGATGGTGACCTACTTTGGAAATGGGTCATCCACTAAGTAGATTTGAGGAATTGGACATGCAATACAATCATTTTAGTTAGATATGGTATATATCTAAATCGAAAATGCCTTTAGTGACAGAAAAAGAACGATGCATGCTCTGATGACAAAAAAAAGCTCATACTCCGTTCAACTGGGGCATATATACTCTAAACAGCGCTACTAAATGTGTGCGGAAAATTTTTACTGAATTCTTTCAGTAATGAGCAAAAAGATGATTGATTTTTCAGTTTTTATTCTAGACAGACTGGAATTAAGTGAACGTAAGGAATATCTAGGGATACTGTTTTTCTGCAAATGACAAGAAAATAGATGTACAATATTTATGCAATGGATAGTTTGACCTCATTGAAAGACGATTATTCCCATGATCTATATTGGTAATTGTTGTGAAGTACTAAAGTTCAGAACCAAAGTGCCAGAAATTGTACTTTGATAGGTTTTCTACCCTTTCTTTACTGTGTAGGGAGATATCGGATTTGAATCAAAGAATACTCTGTGACAGTAACGAGAGATTAGCTAGGGATCATTGGCGGGGATTACAGAAGGTTAAACAAACTTGGTGGAATCGCATGCGATTGATTTGGCTTGGAGGTCACAGACCTAGGAGCACGAATTTGAGTCTTCCACAAACATTTATCAAAGATAAATGAAATGATAAAGGCGCTGGCTAATTAAATTATCTGATCATCAATAGTCATTATATTTGGAAAATCAATTAGTGTTTGCAGCTAATCACGTGCACGGTGTCTAATTAATTGGTTGTCGGACTGATAAGCAACACAAAATTTCAGCGCACGCAAGAAAAGCGGTCTTTCGTCAGTCATTTCGCAGGCTTCTAAGGATGAAAAAATGCGTTTCGATATCGAAATAGTAGAATTTTTACAGACAGATAAGAGATAAGGCTTCCAACTGTTTCTTTACTTGTTGCGTTCTTCTGTTTACCGACACGTCACAACGATTTGTTTTCGTTAGATGTCATTTGCGATAGTGCTCTTCAAATAGACAAAAGAGCGAGTCTTGAATAATGTAAACAATCTTTGAAATCTTTATTTTCTCAAAAAGCACAGACGCAAAGGTTTCTATGCTTCAAGAAAACGCGATTAAAATGCCATCTCAGCGCTCCACAATATCAGATTTCATCTACGGATCTGCTGACAAAGATTTCGCTGTGCTTGCAAGGATTTTCTATTTTTCGCGGGCTGAGATGTTCCACAAACAACAGAAAGACAAATTCTTAAGGGTGGTTTTTATCTTGCATGAAAGAAGTGTTTCCACAGGAAGCCAAATAAGAGTTAACATGTTTTATAAATATCATATTTTTGAACGATGAATGAGTGTTTTGGATACACACGGGAAATGCGAAACAGTTCGTCGCTGAAACAATATTTAATGAACGCGAGGAAAACTGTATTCAACAACTTTTACTTCGGTTATATTAACGGTTAAGATTTCGTTTCCCGGTAAATCCTTTCATGTCGCCTGATGCTGACGATCTTTCACACTCTGGTTTCATCAGTAATTTTGCGGCTTATCTTGTAAAACTCGTTTCTTTTCCACACATGCACATGGCAGTTTCGGATAGATGAAAAAGGCATCTTTGACCTTGGCCGGTTAAAAGAAAATTCCGCGAGCAACTTTCTTCGAAATTGCTGGTCCAATCATTATGAGCTGAAGCGAATGACAGTGCACAGATATCGTCATGTGAGATCGCACTCCTTGAAAACATTTGGGCAACTGAGAGAGATTGTATGTACGCTGAGGAATCTTACCTCAGTTTGACTCCAGGTTTTGGGATCCCACCACATGACATCTTAATTGCGCGCAAATTTTTAATCATTTCGATCAAATGAACTTTTAATCGTTGGACTCAAGATATGGAGTCACTAAACTTTAATGACTTTATATCGTGAGACAAAAGGTAATCGTCCATTTATCTAAATATGATGAGCACGAGAGAAAAACACATCTTATATTTATTTTCGACACTCGCCCCACTGTAATACAAGTCACTCCTGCTAATTGGAGTTGAATTTTGAATCGATAGAGGTTTTGTACAGCAGCCATGTTGGATGGCAGGAACAATAGATTATTTTACCCATGGGAAAAAAAATTCTTTCTTATGCAAAATATTTTCATTGTTCCTGCCATCCAACATGGCTGCTGTGCAAAACCTCTATAGAACAAATAATTTCAACAAATCTTTTTTTTTTTCCCGCGTGTCCGTCCTCTTTTTGTGGGTAGCGACTGCACGGTCATCGGACAAAGGTGAAAAATAAATCCTTTTTGGCTTGTTTAGGTTTTTATCATTTTTATGATGCTATGGTTTGCGAACATTAATATCTCCACTCATCTTTGATATATCACCTGAAAAAAGGTCGCCCAATCCGCCACCAAGAATGATTCAAATATGCAGACGGAAGAAAAGCAAGGATTAAACACTGCGTTGACAAGACAGAAGCACAACGTCGCTTTTCACCGTGGGAATCAAAACAAAGCATCTTTTCTTTTTGAAGAGTTTTCCGTCATCGCTTGCACACGCGGAAATCAACACTTTTAGTAGAAATGTAACAAAGTTCTCTGTTTCGTCCAAACAAAAGATTCTTCGCGCGGCATGACGTGTTTTTGCTCGAGGCAACAAAGAGGCCGCTAGCCTTGTTAGATCGTAGTGTGTAATGGATATTTTTAGCCAGCATCTTGGGTCAGGAAACATGCCCTACTTCTGTTGAACCGCGCTTTTGAAAGAGGCAGCGCTAAACGGTTTGCGAAAAAAAAAAAGGTATGTCGATCAAGAGGATTTCCGATTTTTCTCGCATGCAACGAGAGGCATCTTCTAAGGCGAATTTACTAATATTAGATCATAAAAATGGGTATGTTTTCATGTCTGGTTTTTGGCAAACAAAACTGTCGGATACGTTGCAAAATGCGTGTATTGATTTCCACGTATTAAAATAAACTCATTGTCCTGAATTATGAAATGCGATGGAAAAACAAAAAGAAACTCTAGTACGGTGATTTTGTCCAAAAAAAAAGCAACTTTTCTCCGCACGAAGCAGTAGTTCTTTAGACAGACGTCGAAAGCAAGGATCACCTTTGATCACCTCTAAGCTCATCCATAGGGAATAGCTGCCCACTGTCTTGGGTCCCTAACTGTTTTTTATGGAAATCTAAATTATCTGGGTGGTATTGTAGTAGAATCACGGGGCGAAAAAGAATAAACAAAGCTTCTTAACTTACCAAGCCTTGGCAATAGCTGAGGGTTACCAGAGAATTCGGCTGATCTTCAATGTGCCCTGTGTAATGACAGCCAGGCTTGTGTCGCCTAACTTGACCGCCTTTCTCGATTATCAGTCCAGGCGCTGTAAAGTTCGTATTCTTGGTGAGAACAAGACGCAGCTTTTTCCCGTCGAATGTCGGTACCTCTAAGAGCAGAAGTCTGCCCTCGCTCTCACCGCTGCGCTGTTCAGTGCTTGAGTCATTTTGTTTTGATTTGTAATCCACGTGCGAGATAAATTTACCGTCCCTATCGAGCACTGAGGGGATAACTATCTTGAATTCCTTGCTATATTTTACCAGGCCCTCTGTGAACAGAGAACAGAAAATCAATTAAGAGGCCATCGAAGACAGACTACTTAAAAGTCTGCAAGTCGCCAGATGATAAATTGTAAATAATGTCGTCAACAGCTAAGCGCGAGACTCAAAACATTAATTACGAAAGCCTCCGATTAAGCGATTTTCTTGTATTTTACTAACCTTGCTTTGTGTTTCCGTCCCATGACGCGCCGGAGATTGCAAGATGAGCGAGGAGCAAGAAAACTTGAACTCCACTAGAGCAGATTGTAAACATCATGGCTGCCCAAGGCTATCTGTGAAGAGATGAAATCTGCTTTGAATTTCGTCGCTCACTGTGCCGGCTAAGTGCTTTCGAGGAGGAAAAAGAAATCCGAGTCGCTTCCACCGAGCTATGTAATTATTTACTTCCCAGAACCTTGAAGTGTCAATTAGTGCCAAGAATTGCGGTCAAGGTGTATAACGCTTCCATGAAACACCTTGCCCAGACGAAGCCATACTCACCCCAGCCTGTTCGTTTTATGTTTTCCCCGACACTTATCATTCACTTAAGAACATTTTCAAAATATAGCCAACAAATCTCTAGGGCAGAGAGATTAGACTTTCAGATAGAGAGACTGCGAGGATGCAAGAGTCGTGTATACCTTTGATCTCTACAGGTCTACTTAGCTAGTGTTAACATCTGTGACGTAGGAGCAGAAATTGCACATTAGAGTCTAACCCACAACTTATTGACAAATGTAGCAAAATATTGACCAGCTTAAATTTGAATTTCGCTGTGCGAAGCATATTCGGTTACGATTCTTGAAATATAGGAAACTAAACACCCTATAAATCTGCCATCACGTTCAAAAATGTCTTTTCTTCGCGAGAGCTAAGTTGGAAAGTGTTTTCACAAAATGCTGTGTTTTTGCAAATGCAAATATATTTTTATATCAGGGCTTCCCGTATTAAATTTGGACACGGTGTTGTCATGACGCATTACAAATTCACTCCACTTGCCGTAGTTTCAGGAGATTTTTTTCTTGAATTAGAAGTCAGTGGTTTAGACAAAAGAGCAATACTCAGACAGTTGTTGATGGAGTTAAATGAAAACAACTGTTTATCTATTTGCTTTTCAGAAGTAAAAGGAAAAGAGCATTCCACAAATTATTTACCTACAGCAGATTTGAAGAGACACTTTCGAAGGAATTCCATAGACCCTCTTTTTTTTTTAAATTGCTCAGTTGTATCAAATTATCTTTCGAGCTTTCTCCCGTCTAACTCTAATTTTAGTATTCTCCGCTGCTGAATCGTTTTCTAAGCAAACTCTACCTTGATGTGATAATCGTCCTTATTAACCGGATTATAAACAGTCAATAGGTTAGGGGGATTAAAACATCAAACGTTAGAAAGGATTAGCGAAACGGTTTGTCAACTCAAACGTGAGTTGTGAACGTGCCTTCGAAGTTATCACTTCAGAATGGGCGTAACTTCCATATTTCACTGACGGATCCAAAAAAAAACCTGATGAGGTTTTCTAACCGGCATTTTCCCACAAAAGTGAACAAAGCAACCTCAAATGATCGCATGCACTGGCTGGTTTAAGGAATTTAAAGTAACTTCCTGTGAATTTGGCCTTCTTAGCCACACTGTATACACTTAAATTCTCACCAGTCAACAGACTATGCGTGCGAGACAGCGTTAAGGTAATAATATTACACAAACGAGAAAATGTGCAGTTAATTAACACATTTGGCGTCGCAATGCAAAAACTGAGGATATGGTGTCTTTAGTGTTCGCTTATGATTGAGATAACAGAAAGGAAGCATGAAAGAAGCGCGTGCAGCAATAGGAAAGTGTTGATAGGATTGTTTTAACATGCAATAACAAAGTCTTGTCGAATGCCTAAGCGTGTAAAGATGTAAGGAAAATCGGTTTTAGCAACCAGCGACGCTTAGTCTGTTTCCGACCACGAACTGACCTTTATTGGGAATTTTTTTTTCCGGATTTGACGTAATATCGAAATTCCTTTAAATTCCCCGATGATTAAAAGCTGGAAACGTATTTAACTTACAGATAGAATTCGTCTTTTGCTAAGTTTCATTTTATATCACCTATCACTTGTGTATTTCAGGCAAAGGAGCCTTCGAGGAACCAGTTATCCATGTGGAAAGTCCAACTACTCTTAGAAGGCTTAAAAATGTGAAGCCGCAGTCATGGGAAATCACATATACCATTTCAAATAGACTCCTAGAGCGAACATGAACACAGAAGCAATATTTTGTAGTTGCCATTTTTCAAACCGTGGATAGAGACGGACGAACGCAATCGTGCAAAAGGGGTCCTTTTTTTAAATAAATCTCATTTGACCCTTCTTGTTTTCTCTTTGCCCAACTCGGATTAAACACTGAAAGATTTGTAGTTAAACGCATTGCAAACACCCTGGAATTAGGGAAAATAAGGAAGGGATTCATCTCCTCAAGACTATCAAAACAAACTGCTGTTTACTCCCATTAGCAGCTAATTTCAAAGTTCGCGAACTTTGCTACAGTTTCTTATTTATTCGAAATATTTCCTTGCTCATTTTTGATTTGTTTTCATCTTTGGTATTCTGCTACCTATCAAATTTTCTTCAGTTGGATCATTCTTTTTAGTCTTTACCAGCGCGATAGACGTGTGCTGGGTGGTGTTCGGAGCGAGTATTAGGGACCTATAGCAAACCACGATGGCGCCGGCAACGAAGACGTGGAAAAACAAAAAGATCTAATTGGCAGAACAAAGCTCAGCACGTGCGTTTTAAAACTTTGTACATTTCTTAGCCGTCCTTTGCAAAACAACAACGTGAAATCACTAAAATGTGCGTCGTCTGCGAACCAAAACCGTGACAATAAATTGTATTAATTTCCTTTTGGAACTCTACGCTACTTGTTACGCCGAGGTTGAGGCGTGGCGTCGTATGAGACAGTAAACACATGCAGCCATTTTCGAAATTCTAATTAAAAGTAGAAATTAATTTTTTAATCGACGTCTTCTTTGGCGTTGCCGTTCTGACTGCCGAGTAAGGTCCCGAGAATCTGGAGAAAATCGGAGACGCCGTTACATGGCAACCCGTTACGTTTTTTTGCGCTTCAACACTAAAATACTGTACCTAACAGTTAATTCAAGTGAAATAAAATAGTTACCTCATCAGCCAAGTCCTTGATTATCCCTTTGGTTATTACAAGTGAGTAGTTCTCTCAAGTGATTATTGACACAAACATTAACTGCATGACACAGTGACGATATTTTGGAAATAGATAGACAATCCTTGATTTTATTCCTGTTGAAAAATTAAAGTGAACATATTATTCCAAGTGCAAGCTTTTGGACTCCGGAATGTTCTGTTAGAGAAACAGAATCTAGGCTATATTTCTTAGTTCTTTCATTTTTTCTACTTTACCTTTACGACTGTAGCCTTCAATCAGTTTTTTTTTTCTAATATAATCTTTTGGTTGTTTCTGGTGAAGCTGGTTGGGCCAAATGTGGCCTGATTAACTATAGAGTCCTTGTTATGTTGTTTTGATTTCTGATGTAAATCAAATTATTCATTATCGGATTTTTGAGACATTGGTCAGCTTGATTCAGGAAGGCCTAATTAAGTTTTCAGGATACTAGCCCTCTGGTTTAATTAAATTTACTATACAAAAACATTCCACTGCCAACCTTCAATATCAACAATCACAAGAGGCACCCGGCATCTTAAGATAAAACAGAGCAGTCTAGCGGTTTTTGTTTGCACCAGCCAGGGTTGACGCTAGAGAAATGGGAAGTAGGAAATAAATAATCTTCCACTCGCAACATGTCTGCGCGTTTTGGAGGCTCCATACATCTTATTCCAAAATAGCCACCATTGTATTATTCTTTTATACTTATGTTAATTGGCCCTCGATGCCTCGATCGCATCTTCAGAATTGAAAAGAATTTCTTGGTAGAATCGAGGCATCGAGGGCTAATTTACATGAACATAAAAGAATTATAAAGTCTCAGCCATTTTGGAATAAGGTGTATTGATCGAGTGCGTACAAAACTGCACGCCAAAGAAAACTCGAGCTTTTCACCTTGCACTAATACACTAAGCTACTGGTATTTAGCCAGTGACCTTTGAAATTCTTCTTTCTCAACATTATGTTGTTGCTGTTGTTAAATAGCGAATTGAAAGTGCAAAGTTCGTCCAAATCCATATGATGTTTGTTTGCTTTCCAGTGACAAGAATCTGAGTTCTTTATCACTGTTAAACCTCGTCAAATGTCTAATAATATTAATAATGCTAGTACTTATTATAATTATAATGATTTATATTAACAGCGATATCATAGTAGACTTGCTAAGCTAGTTGCTACAAAGAGGGGCGAGAGTTGTGCGACAACTATGTCGTGGATCAGGGCAAGAGTGTCCTTTGCGCTACTGAGATCAGCATTACTTTACTTCAGTATTAAGAGGTTCGCGAGTTTCTAGCAGAGTTCACTAGGAGTTGTCGGACATTGTCTTTGATATTGAAAAAGGACATGCTAATATTTGCTAAGGCATTGAGAAGATATATCTAGGGAGCTTTAGCCAAAGCCACGAATAGTAATGAGTCAAGAAGTGTTTAGCAGTTTTGTAGTTGACATTATTTTATACCTAATACGATGTTTTTAGACTTTTTATAAAGCAAGTTTTTAGCCTAGTTTTTTTCTCACATTTTTTTTTTGAAAGCTAAGCCATTATCTTGTTTTCTTCTTATATATTTGGTTATTATGTAAATAGGCATCATTTTAATATATATTAGCAACAATTATGGTAATAATGAATCAACTTTTTCATCATTGAATACATTAAGAGCAACGTAGGTTACCATGGCTACGGTTTACGGGAGGTGGGGGAGGCGGGGGTGCGGCTAATTTTGTACATCCATTTATATATTGTGATATTTCACACGAAATGGTTATTATCTTTATTATCGCCGTGTTTAGCATTTTCTTTATTATCATTATTTTATCTACTTTTGTAATAAAAAGCCTGACTGTCGGACAGCTGGAGCTGGACGGCATCGTGAAGCATTTATCGTTACCATGCCACGGAATATGCAATTTTAGAGAGTAATTAAACGCGAAAGAAAAGTACTGGAGACCACTGAGTCGCACCAAATGGGTTTCGATGCTATAGGAAAATTCACTACCTGACGAAGGAACTCCAAGTAAAATTGCTCGCGAAAACTGATATTGCACGAATCGCGAAGCGATGAGTACAATATCAGTTTTCAAGTGCAATTTACGCGGAATTCACGGGTCAGGTTATGGATTTTCCTTGAATCGCATAATTGAATTACTTTTTCGCAGTCGTGGAGTTGCAACTTGACGACAGTTATTACCTACATGTAGATGCGGACAACATCACCTAGCCTCGTTTTTTTTAACTCGCAATTCCACGCTAAACACCTCACTTCGATCGTTAACCAATCCCAGAATGCAAGATTTTATCTAATTAAGCAGTTCTAAGTAAAATCTGATCAGGTAAAATTAACCGTTAGAATTATGCGTGATTCCTTGCGCAGCTCTTAAAAGTTTCGTCACGATTTAAGTTAGCTCTGACCAAGTGTGAGCGTCATCGAGGATCTGTTATATATTGGCTTTTGTTAAGGGGAGTGTTTGTAAAACAAATACCAAAGATTTAAGTTGAAATATCTTGGCTCCCCAAATTCTACGGGATGGTTTAACGGAGACATAACTCCTTCAAGTCATTGGGTGGGACATTTAAGTATCTTAAGGTCATAATCCGAATTTTTTACCCAAACAAAGACAAGATTTTTGTAGAAATGATCCGTTATGCAACCACCTCCATAGATAATGACAAGATAACTGTAGAATGGAATTCTAATGCAGTCACGAATATTTCAGGTTAAAAATTGACCAAAAACTTTGGGTTTCGTAGATTGATTTTATTTGCTATCTAAGAAAATATAGAGGGAATAGATTCGACGCAGAAATGCGACATGTTTCCTTAGTTAGGCTGTACATCTGAGAACATGGTTTGAACATAGAGCCATTTTCGAAGGAAGAGTCCAATTAAATTTTTAGCGGAGAAGAGGACCCAAAGACAGAGAAGAAGACAGGACAGAAGAAGAAACTTTACCTTCACAAACCCTTTACATTCTTGTTCCGGATTACCGCCTGCTTACCGTCCACCTCAAACTTTAGTTTTAAGTCTCATTCATATCTTAGCTTACAATTTTTAACATCCTCCCTTTAAGAATTTCTCTAAAAACAATTCCCCTCAAAATTTATTTTAAAAACTCTTAAAGATTTGACATGATAAATGCAGAATTACGTCGTCTTACGATCGAGGTGAAACCTCCTCGAGATTAGATCGTCATATTGTTTAAGTGATCATGAAGTCAAGGTATTTGACAAAAGCAACTAACCGTATCATGAAGTTACTTGGACAAAGACATGATTGGCTCGGAAAGACATTGCAAAGATGAAGAGTTTACTTACCTTTGTTTTGCTGGAGTTAAACAAGATAATGGTACAGAACCAGAAGTGCTTGCGTTTTTAAACTGAATGTCTCATAAGAGCCTCATTAAGGCCTATTAGTGGGTCAGCAGGAGTGTAAAGTTCACGAGCTGGAAAACACGCAAGACAAAAAAATTCCGCTGAAAATGAAGGACAGAAACCCACGATTAGTACATACACTTCTACTTTTACTCTGTAGTCTTAAGCCTCATTCTTTTATCATTCGGCCGTTTAGAAAATGGTTTTATTTAGTTGAAAGTGAAATGAACGAAGGAATTTATCGCGTACATACGCTTCTACATACATACCTACACTTCTAGATAATCGCTTACATACGCTTCTACTTTTACTCTGTAGCTTGAAGCCTCATTCTTTTATCGTTTTTGCCTCAGTTTTAGAAAATGGTCTTATTTGGTTGAAAGTAAAATGAGCGAGGGAATTTATCGCCATCGGTGTAATTGCCAGATTGCTAGGATCAACACATCAATAGAAGAGGCCCAGGCTAGGTCCAGCTTCCATTTCCAAGTTCGTCATTTACCTTAACTTTTTTTGTTTTAAGGCATCATAACCATTGCAAACCTTATATCCTTCTACATTACCCAACTAATATTTTGAGGTTTTCTAACGAAGCTTAGTGTCGTGACGTAGGCATCATGATTAATTACTTTCTTGATTAACCAGAAAATTGTCACCTCCGGCCATGAACTGATTGCGTTTGCTTAATTGATATATTCAGGTTTCCAAATCTTTAGGCGCGGAGATAAAAGTATCAAAACCGTAATCCAGCTCTCTGTAAAAACTGATAAACTGTTTCTTAGAAAAGCTTTAGTGCGATTAATATGACTTTCAATTCTAGAGAATCTTCTTAAATACACCCTTAAGCATCTTTTGGAATTATCTGAAACACCAAGCGTTTACTTTAGTGTACGTGACAAGAGGCCGAGAACCAAATTAGAAGGATGCGATAACAAATGAATCGTAGATAGTCAGGCAGATCTTGAGTAGCAGCCCGCATCAAAACTCACATAGCTCAAACTAAATTGAATATTATGGGATTACATAGCTCTAGGATTTATTTATTTATTTATTTATTTTTTTTGTGATGTTCACTGGTTTGCTGCAAGTCCATATTCATAATTTTCCGCGCCTAAGTTAGCGACGTCCGGTACTGGCACCCTCTCTAGATAGCTCTCTCTCTCTCCCTCTTGCCCTCTCTTTTGAAGAGCGTTATTATGAATACGAAAGTAAAAAGATCAAAGAACTTCTGATCCAGTGTGGCAAGCGATATCTTACGGCAATACGCTTTTTTTGCCCACGATACAAGGCTTGAGATGAGTCTTGAGCCTGAGTCATGAGGTTATCTGTTCGGGCTGTTTACAGGTACGAAACAAGTAAGTGGATAAAATCAGCGACGCGCTGATAAACTATGCCTGTAGTCAGGATGTTCTAGAACAAACTTCATGAACAGATGACGTCTGTTTCTGCATATTTGTTGGCTAAGGGATTGACCAGTCTTTTATAATACATCTCTTGGTAAATCAGAGTTTTACCTTTGTTAAAGTGATCATCCAATCTCCTCTGACTTCAAGTTTTTGTTCTCAATTTTTAGTCAGTTAAGGAATGTTACAGAAAGTCATAGGAGAATTTTGGAAGGTGATGAAGACACAGAGAAGTTCACTGATTTTCTTTAAATCATAATCACTAGATTAACCAGATTGAGAAATGAAAAAAAAAAAACAAAAAAAACCTTTAAATCATAATCACTAGATTAACCAGATTGAGAAATGAAAAAAAAAAAACAAACAAACAAACAAATCGCAGAGGTCATCTGCGTCGGTTTTAGAGGTATCGGCTTGGGCTTTGGTAACCTTGGAAGGTGTCTGAGCCATCACAGCAGGAATATCCAAACAGTATTATCTGAAAATTTCGAATCTTCGTTTTAAGAAAGAAATGATTAAATATTTTTCCACTTTGACGGTCTTTAATTTGTCGCTTTTAATCCCTATTATCAATATAAGCTATCGTGAACCAAGTGCTAGTTAGCATGTCTGTAGTTTATTTTTGGAACTGATCCTTAGTTTCGCTCTGTTTGTGACTGAGTTATGGAAACGTTCGTGTCCCACGTATGTACTTTTTTATACCTTGATAAGGCAGGATAACAGTAAATTTGATATTTCTTGTCAAATTATCGTGTCCTCTAGCCGGAAGCATGACTGATTTCTTCCTGGGAGATCAATAAAGATTTTAGGACATCTTTTTAGCTATTTCTATCATTTTTTATTCTTCGGCGTTGAAGCTAGTGGTATCATGTACAGGATATCATTGAGTTTACAATCCAATTTACTGAGGGATTTACCGTTTTTTGAGCCGACGGATTTCTCAAAGAGCCTGTCTCCATTTCTCAGAAGTAGGTAAGACTTTTACTGATTACGCACGTAAGATAAAACGTATTTCGAGTAAGATGTCATTAAACCAGAACCAACGTGATCCAAACGCCCGATGGGAACGGAAGGAATTATCTCAAGAATCCTATGAAGACTCATCGTTTAGAGAAGTATCGGACCCCAAGCTTTGGTGAGCTGAGTGATCTAGTCGTGTCTAATTTCAAAAGCTTCCGATTGGTTAAGAGTGTAGAAGGACTTCTATGGTGAAATCAACTCAGTCAATAGACTTGTTGGGTGACCGGTCGTTTCGTACGCGCAGTCGATCGGCGGTTTGGATACGAACCGACTCAAACTTCGGTAAGAAGTGACTCAAATTTCGCAACGAACCAACTCAAACTTGGGTACGAACCGACTCAAACTTGGATGCGAACCGACTCAAACTTATGTACGAATCGACTGTACCTGGATACGAAACGACTGGATACCACTTGCGGCACTTGACTCTTTGTTAAGAATGCTTAAGTACCTCAGTTGAAGAACTGTTTAAGTGAGTCAAACATTCCAAAAAAAAAAAAATTGTGGGAGCCGATTGCAGATTGGGGACAATGCTTTCCTAGCCTATCCTCTCCCTCGTTTTCTCCCTGGCAACGTGGTTGTATCGCTACTTCTCCACATTTCGCCTTTCGCTGAGCGCGAGAGCCTCTCACGCTCTACTTTGCTGCATTACAGAATGTCACGGCGTAATAATACAAATCTAGTGGATTTCTGGAGTAAGTTTTGACACGCATTCAAAAATTGCTATATTTTTCCTGAGTTGATAACTTTCTAGTACTGAGTATCGCTTATACAATGGCGCAAATCGCATCGAGCTCCTCTTTAGCCAATAAACTTCACGAAGTTCGTGCGGTTCTTATTCCGAGAGCAGCTTGCAATCTGGCCAACAAATTTAGTGGTGCATGCTGAATTCGAAAGACGTAGTTTTTCCTTTAATCATGGTCATAGCTTGTGCTTCTTGTGACATGTGATCTATAATATTTCAAGGCCGTCAATTTCAAGACCGTCGATTTCAAGCGCAAGATTCTACAGTATGACTCTTTCTCATAGTTAAGTTGTAGAATGTTACAATTTTACATTTTACATTTTAGTATAACTAAGTGTAACTAGAGGGGGAAGGCGGTCTTGGAGCGTCCGTAACCCCCTTTTTATATGGTAATTTTGTGAATTAGAAAGGTTAAATCTTACAATTGAAATCTCTGTATAAAAGACGCCTTCAGACTTTCTTAATTATATTGTGCAAGAGCTTGCCTTTTAACTGCTATCCAGGCTATCTAAGAAATATGTTTAGTTTCCGGTCTGTATCCTATAATCTACGTGGAAATTATATTTTGTCTCTACCGTCTACAAAAACTACTACTTATGGTCTTCACTCCTTTTCATATATGGCTTCAAAAATATGGAAATCTCTTCCGGACTCTTTTAGAACGTCTGACTTTTCTGATTTCAAGCGCAAGATTCTACAGTATGACTCTTTCTCATAGTTAAGTTGTGGAATGTTACAATTTTACATTTTACATTTTAGTAGTATTTAGAATTATACTTGTAACTCGAAGATACTAGCTTATCTTTTAGCTACTCCAAATTCGAGATTAAATAAAGTATAGGTAGGTATGTATCAAAACGCACGAATCCCAAAAATCTGTATGGCGTAGGACTTTTGCTAGCGTTAAGAGCCTCGTTTGCTTGTCCTACTCGCCAAGCGAGTGAATACCAGACTGCTGACACGCAAGATAGTGCAACGGTATAATCCTCTTCATGTAAATCACTTGGAACTGATTCGCAAGCGTGACTTTCATTTTGATAAATACTGACTAAGCCCCCGTTTCTTCGTTCCTTCTTGGCTTATTTTGAACGTAGTTCTTTGGTGTTTGTCTTCTCTAGCGATTTGTTACTTCAATTTAAGGTTTTGTTTTGTGACCATCTAGTTAAATCAATTCTCAATAACTTTAAAATTCATGACACAGAATACCGTGACTTTTTCCCTAAAGCTTTTATCTCCCTGCCACACTAAATCTACTTCTTAGAACGATTTTCCCACACGTTTTTTTTCCCGGGCCGGTAGAGAGTATAGATGACATTCCTCCACATAAACATTTGCAAATGTCTTAATTTAAACCACCCTCCTCTTTCATGAGGCCGACATTGGTCATGACCATATATTTAAAGAACCTATTGATATATCTGAAACGGGGCGCTTTTCTTGGTTTGACGCCAAAAAATAAATGAATGAACAAATGAAGGCTATGGATGTGAAGAAATACTGATTTTTGTCTTAACATGAAAATACATTATCTATGAAAGGAGACGTGAGAAAATCATTCTCTTGAAAAGATGGAAGTTGAGTTTTTAAGTAAGCGCTCTGAATATAGCCAGTCGGAACTTAGGAAACTGTATCCAGCCACTTTAAGATATCTGAACGCTCTATCAAAAAGCTATTTAAGCAATTAACCCGACTCCTTCAAGTTACCCTGGAGGCAATATCAAGATAATTTAAAGACTGTCTCCGGTTGGCATAATGAATTCCTGTTTCCAAATTGTTCGTCAGTACTTGAACGTATCAATTCGATTGAAAGTGCAGGCTGCAGCGAAGAAAATTGATTAAGCACAAGGTAAAACACTAGAAAATTGTCTTTCGAATTCTGTGTTGTCTTTCTGTTCTCGTGTTCTAAGATTCGGTTCACTGACTTTACAATAGGATTAGAAGAGACAGTTTACATTATTTCATTGCCACAAACCTCGAGTTTCAACTTTGGTACAATATTAAAAATTACGTATGCACTAGCTCTATTAGCTATTTCGTATTGCCCCTCAATGTGGATCGCTCAGCCGATAAACAACTTCGTATCGGATGCACTTAGATACAAATTATTCACTCGACAAAACCGAACAAAACTTGCAATTCATAATAAATCGTGTTTCATTCATTCACAATTCTTCGCTTGGAGTTCACCAGCCGTTTTTGTTTCAGCTTGCAAAAGAAACTATTTTTTTGTGTAGGAATTTTTACCCTTATCTACCAGTAGCACTTATTGAAAACGCAAACGACTTTTGTTGTCGAAAGCAAACTTAAGCAATTATTCTGAAATGCCGATATCCATTAATTCAACAGTGGCCACAGCCGATGACGTGACTTAACTCTCCGCACACGCCAAAACTCCAACTTTCGGCAACATTAACTTTTCAAAGCCGCTGATTGAATGAACACGACACAGTTTTAATTAATGATTCTTTGTGATGATATTCAACTAAAAGCATTACAATGAGATTCTACTATGTGATTTATACTATCTGCTTAGTTCCTTGACAGAAATTCAAAAATTATGGATGGAAGACGCTCCGTTCCGAATGCTTAAGCTTTCCCAGGACGCTTTTCGTTTACTTTCAAGCGAGACCTCAATCTTCAAGGTCATATAAAATATGACGTCTATTGAAGTACTCTACTGATTTATATTTTATAGGATTAATAAATATCGTGTCATTTTGGACTTTCCTATTGTTTCCAAAATTCCTTAAATCATCTGAACTCAAATCATTTGGTTTCAAGAATAACGCTCTACAATCTTCAAGTTACCTTTAAAGTGCATACACCGCGGAGAAGTTGGTCCACCCTCTATATCCCTTCACCAGTGCACATCTGACTCACGGAGGAGGACACTTGAAATACTGATAGTTTGACAAATGTGCGAGACATTGTACCATAGCCTACAAAGCACGGATTGATAGGATTTTGATCCGTCTCGTTTTAATTGTTGTTCAACAGACCCTAAAACACCATTAATTGGACCAAACTGGTGCCATGAATAGACTTCTTGATAAAAAAGAGATCCGGTGAATAGATAAATGGAGACTTAAACCACTAAAACAATGACCTCTAAACGTTTAGTTTAATTAATATCTTCCACAAATCGTTGTACTGTTGCTAGTAACTTTAATCAAGCGGTGGGGAGCTCTTGTATCTTCTGACTCCGAAGGTTCTGATTTCACACTCAAATGGTTCTTCTAGTTTCTAAATAGTCCGAATTTAACGAAATTAAAAGTTTTCGCCAAAGGGTCCTTCGAGCGATTTCTCCACCCCTTCAGCTTTTGAACAAAAAGAAGGTGGACTTACTGACGGAAAAGTTATTTACCGCTTTCATGCCATGTCGCCGTAAAGTCTTGCATTTTAGGAAACACAAATCGGTTCACAATCTAATTTTGGAGCCATGCAAGGAATTTAATTCATACCATAAAATTTCAGTCGTCAAGAAATCTGGCGTTTGTACAAGTGATCATGCAGAACAGAAGTAGCTGCAAACTGAATTTGACTGTTTTATAACTGTGGAGAATTAGCGGGTATGCGTTTTCCCGCGCCGCTTGGCTGTCGTGACTGCGTTGGTTTTGGTTTCACGGCACTCAGTTAAAGCTTCAGAACAATCTAGATCTAGAAATACCGTAAATTCTCCAATAAGACCTAATAAGTCCCCTAGAGGTCTTATTTATTTCAGGTACTTTGGGTGGGTGGCTCATCAGGGGAGCTTAATCAAGGAGGGGGGGGGGCTTATTAATTTAGTACTCAATAAAGAACTCGATTTTATGATCTAACTCTCTTAAAGGCGTTTACACGGCAGAAAAATCGGTACGGACGTGTCAAAAAAGTAGTACGGACCGCATAATTTTAGCCGTTTACACGCGTACGGATGATGTTTTATCGCGGGTCGGACAAAAAGAGGCATAAGGACCAAGCTAGCAAGGTTGCGTTTACACTGCAGTTTTTGGGGGACCGAACTACAGTATTTGGTACAGCTGTGTGCTGTTATCGAACATGCGTAATTCTTGTAAACAAAATGGCGACGAGTGATGCTGAGTTATGGGTACGGACCCGTGTTTTTTCAGGTTTTGGGGCCATAGACGTCTATGTCCCCAAAACCAGAAAAAACACGGGTCCGTACCCATCCCCCAGTACATGGTACGGATTGTTTACACGGGCAAAAATGTGAGGTCCGTACTCCATTTTTGAGACGTCCGTACCTGATATTTCTGCCGTGTAAACGGCCTTTTAATGGACTTTGTTTGGCCATTATTTTTAGTGTCGCTCTGTAATTTCCGTATACCGTATTCTATTGATGCCAACATGATAACATCAATCAATCAATCAATTAATCACCATAATCAGTTTTAAATGACAAACCGTAAAATCACAGTACTTGAATAAATTCATCGTACTTACTGACATGGAGTGTTATTTTGAATTTTTGTTTTTTGAGGGGTAGTTGAGGGCTAAATATAGGGGAGGGGGAGGGGGGGGCTTAATAAAATTCTTAATAAATTTCAAATAAATTTTTATAAATTTCTTAATAAATTTCTTTCTCTAAAGAGGAGGGGCTTGTTGGACGGGGATGGTTTATGAGAGGAGGGAGGGGGCTTAATTATCAGGGGATTTACGGTAACCAGTGATTTAGGTGGTGTCAGGAGCCCATCACAGTGATGGGCTCCAGGTGGTGTCTATTCCCTGTCTACTTAACTTTCCAGGTTATTCTAATTTGGTTGTATTTTCCCCTTTTTGAAATATGCTCAAGACAATCTGTTTCACCTTTTTGTTTTTTTGCTTTCCCAAGAACCTAAGATATTTAAAGTGAGGAGTTTTATCCAAATACGACTTTCGTAACTTGTGCGAGGGTTCTCTGTTCCGCTATCGTGACAAAATTTTGCTTGTTTGGGGTATTTGAACGCATATTGGCCCGAGGTGGAGGTGGAGGGAGGGGGTGGGGGGAGAGCGAAGGGGAGTCTGAACGAACCAATCTTCGAAAGTTCAAATGCTCAGGGGGTTTCCCGTGGGTGGGATTTTGAAGTTTCGAATTGATCGACTGTAGCGTCTGTAGAGTGTAGCTTTGTTCTAGGAGACGGTAACATCAACCGAAGAACTGTGGCATCCCGATTTCTCGAACCTCCAGGGGAAACGTAAATTGGTTCGAGAAATCGGGTGTTCGAGAAATCGGGGGTGAAAGTACAAGTGAAGCAAATCCAAGGGAAACAAGGTTTGGTTCGAGATACGAGAGGTTCGAGAAACCGAGGGTTCGAGAAATCGGGATTCCACTGTAGATGAAGTTCAATTCAGACAGGCTGATCATCTATTTACTCTAAAATAAGGGAGAGACCGATAACTCGGCCTTGAAATGGGGTTCTCCGAGGAAAATAAGGAGAAGACATAAGTAAAGCTGCTATCATTACAGGTGTGGTTTTTCTTAAACAAACCACAACAGCAGCGGCAATGAGCGCGTGGCGAAACAATAGAGTTAACGAGTATAACAATACCTCAGCTTGTGCCTTTTAAAATTATTTACATCTTTAGCAAGCCGTCCTCTACAAAACAACAAAGTGAAAACAGAAAGGTTTGCGTGGTTTGAGAACCGGCACACTAACGGCGAATTATTTTCCCATTATTTTTCTATTTAGAATTATTTTTCTATTTAGAACTCAACGTTTCGCTTATATGTTACGCTGTAGTTTGGGTTTTGGCGCCGTTGGAGATTGTAATTATATCTAGCCATTTGCGAAAATATAATGCATAAATTCATTTTTCAATAGACGTATTCCACGGAGTTTTAGTCCTGATTGCTTAGGGTCCCTATTATAGTGATCCAGTTTGACTGAAGACCACTGTGGTCCCTTGTCAAAGCTCTTGGTGTTCGTTGAAGGACCCACGTCCACGACAATTTTGATTTTTGTTTTGTTTTTGATTTTCGTCTTATGAGTGGCTCAGTTCGTGCGCTCTCTTTTTCAAATCTTTAACCGATGAGAAATCTATTTTTTCCATTTTTTTGGATCGTTTCATTCTTAAAAGCCGAAAAATGTAAAATTGTTGTTGTTGTCGGATTACTAGGCACGGGCGTCCAATGATTGTTCATCGGAGAGGCAGAGTAACGCTTGTCACGCACTACTGGCTTGTGACGTCGCTGTTACGCTTCGGAATTACGCATAACTGAGTCGTGCAGTTTGAACTGTCTTTACACAAACGAAAAAAAATGGTTCAATAGGACGCTGTACTTGTACGCATCTGGGAGTTTGGAGAGATAATTTGGCCCGCTTAACAGGTAAGATTCATTACCAGTTATATGGTTTGCATGTGAAGGTTTAACTTTCCGAACACAAGAGGTTTGTTTTGTTCGTCAAATATCATGCAGTTTAACCTACACAGACACTTGAGCGATTTCTTTTCTTCGGGTTTGACTCATCAGAAGACTTGATCTGTTTCAAGGTTTAGTGAGAAGTCGAATATGATAGCAGCGATAAAAATTGGTGGAGTTCTTCAGCCAAAGTGCAGTTCCCAAATTGCTAAGTAACCATAATTGCTCGCGCGCGAGACGGAATTAACTGAATACTCGTCTCCATAGTGCAGCTGTGCTATAATAATGTAAGTATTCGGTTTGGATTTGTGCTTTTCTGTAGAGATATTATTATTCACCCATTAAGAAATAAATTACTTCTGCTGCTGTTCTTGTAAATTCTTTATCGAATGCTTCCGAATCGACATTTCCTCTCATGAAATTCGACATTCGCAGTTGTGTGTGTGCTTTTGTACAGAATCCTTAAAATGGCGTCCATGGATACGGCTGGTAAGTACTGCTAAATGCGTCCTCTTTCAAAATTCGAAGCCTATTCGATAAAAAGCGCGAGTGGAACAAGTTTGAAAGTTTTAATTTATCTGCAAAGTTACAAGGCTTGTTTTATCCACCTTGCTATGGACGGGAGAATGTATTCTTAAACTATGATTTAAGCCGGTTGTTTCCATTTGAATTCTTTATGCCGTAATTCGAAAGCATCTTGATTTTAAGCGTTACTCGAGATTTTCGAAAGAGATCGTCCGAATTTATCTTTAAAAGAGGAAAGGAAAGAATGAACGTTAAATTAGTTTTATAGCTTAAGATGTCGTTTGATCCTTATATTGTATATTCAATGTTGTAGTTGACGCGGATGTGTGGTTTAAAAGTTGTTTCAATCTCCTGGTTTTTAAAATGGTTGTGCCTTTGAGGAATGATAGCGAGGCTTTTATTTATTTTTTTCCAAATTTTGATTAGAACGTTCGTATTGTAACTGTATTTATGGTTCACCGTAGTTTGTTTGTGGTTAGTGTACGCGTAGTCAAGAAAGAGAGCTGTAAGAAGGTTACAAGGTTACACGAGCTGGAATGATAGCTAAATCCAAATTGCCTCCTAATTAAATATTAAATAATTCACACAAAGTTGGGAGATGATGTTACTCTCCAAAAATTTCTTTGAGATGTATACTGGTATGTATCGTACAATTATGAATGAATGATTTTTAAAAGTCTGTGTTATGTACATTCTGTTCTCATTTCTCCTTTAATAAAAATGAAATGCTTTTTTTTTTCTTTGAATAATGGAGTAAAATTTATATAATTATTTAATTTTGAACATTATAATTCCAAATTGTGTTAGTTAATCCATGTCGTAGAAAAGCCCACAAGTAATTTCTTCTCACTGAAAAACAAGTAAAAAGAAAGCTGAGGAGTAACTCAGTCACCTTTTGTATCTTTCAAGGATTGTGTCACTTATGAATGTTCATGTTGCTTGAGAAGGAGAGCCAGCTCTCTAGTTAAACATGAAGAATTCATAACTTTTCACAACTGTTGCTCAGGGTATTTAGTTAATCCCCTTAAAATTACAGATCTGATAAAAAATACATTTCCATAATTTGGTGTTATATCAAACTGAACTAATATTGATCATGATTCTTTTTGTAAGTACTGGTACATGCACACACACTTTCACTCACAGTCATGTTCTCAACACAACATTTATGATATACGAATATTTGATTGTGTAGTCTGGTAACTTCTCACTGGACCCTGCCTGATGATGACTTCCACACAGGTTGTCCAAATGCCAGTCACCACTGCTGACATGCAGTCCTGCTCAGGAATATCCTTACCCAGATGAACAGACTTCACTATCAAAATGTTATCCTCAAGTTCCAACAATTTAAAAAGAGAAGAATATTGACAAACTAATTTATATTGCTGTTACTATGCAAAAGTAGTGATAGTGCTCTATTTATAAGCTATTATAGTCGTGAACAAAATAATTATTTCAACTAAATGTACATGTAGTTTTCCAATCACTGCCCAAGACCAAAGCTAGCAAAGATCTAGACAAATTTAAAAATTAGGCTGCTAAGGTTTGTGTTGATGATCGACAAAAGACTGACATCAGCACTGACTTCTGATTTGGTTCCCCACAATAGCCTCAATGTTATTTAATCCTTGTTCTGCAGAGATGAATCATCTCTTAGCACTTTTGGTGCTGTTTTCAAGTGCCAATGGTGATGGGAATTTTCGTTTTACAAACACACACATTGAATTGTCAGAAGAGCCCTTTACTCAAGCATCATTTGGAGTCTCAAGGACAGGATCTATGACAGGGACTGTGATTCTTACATGTCAGGTTGGTTTGGCAAAAACCAATAATATTTGTTAATTTGATGTAGCAAAACCTTTTATTTTCAATTATGAAGTTGGTGTCAGTTATGTTTCAGACTCAGTATAGAACAGTATAGGTGTTACTGTCTGTTTTTAAGGTTTCCCAAACCCTCTCTCCTCTTTTATTTCTCTAATTTTAATTAACAAGCATTGATGGGTGCCAGCAATTGGTACCCAATACTGCAGAGTAGTAGGGATTTGCCACTCACAGGGGTAGTTTTCCATCCAGGCACTGGCTTGCCATGGTTGAAGCTCCCCGGATGCTTCAGGCATCTACACCTACATTATATACACCTATATGTACCTGAAGTCCTACTATTTCAGCAAAGCAGTCTTAAACTTTTGATTTTCTTTCAGATGAATGCTTCTGCTCAAGACGATGTGGATGGCCTTTCCCAGAATGTGGAATTTAAGCCAAACCAGAACTCTGGATCTTGTGTCTTCACAATAGTAGATGATGCAATTCCTGAGGCCAATGAAACATTCTCTATTGACCTGACTGTAGGTGGAGGATCTGGAACCGTGGTATCACCGTCTGTGGCATATTTAACAATACTTGCTAATGACGATGCATTTGGTATCATTGGGTTCAATGAGGTAGGTAACAATGGATAAACTGTGGAGAAGTGCATGATTCTGTAACTCACAAGTGTGTAGCTAAGAGATAAGGCCTCTGGCTGAAATTTCAAAGTAGGTAGCTCAAAGATATTGTTGGATATCAGAGGATTATAGTTATTGTGTAATCTCAGAAGCCTTGTGGTGCTCTACCGAGCAATCACTGAAAAGGTAGCCGTGCTGTTTTTTATCTGCCAACAACCCTGAACATGTCTTGATTTGTTTTGAACAGCAACTGTGTTCACAAATTCATGTAGCACAAATTTTTGTCTCATGTTTATTAATTTTTTTTATATGCATGTACTAATGGTATGAATTGTTCCTTAAAAAATGGTAAATTTTTTTTGAACTTGGTCATCAAAGAAAGGAATGTTAAATTTGCTCTGTGACAGGCATAGAACAAATAAAAATCTGATTCCCCATAAGGAAATGTAGCTCAGAGTTTTGCTATTCAAGGTTCCGTGTTTTTTTGTTGGTCCATATCTACGACAAACCAAATAATGTTATGATTGTGAATTTTTCAACTTTTTATAAGCATAAATTAGTATTTTTTATTACTAACTGACATCACATGATCTCTTGTATTTTTCCAGACTGGACCAATTGTAGTGGATGAAGTGTCAGCAGGAGAGAATACAAAGAACATCAAACTAGTTAGAAAAGCTGGTCTGATAAGTTCAGTACAAGTGTCTTGGAGGGTATGGACATTCTTAGCTCATTGGGAATCATGCTCTAGCTCAAAGTTTTTTTCTAGGTTAAGCCACTTGAACAGAAAGATATAAACCAGCTTAACCAATCAACACCAGTTTAATTTTTGTGTTTTGTTCATTTTGAATTATAATCTGAAGCAAGGGAAAGTAAAAGCAAATTGTCATGTAGATTGCCTCAATGGAAGTCATCATTGGAGTCAAAAGTCTTGACTCTGATGGTGAGTTTGACTCAAGATTAACCTGTAAGAGTCATGATTCCGATGAAGACTTCTCTTTCAATCTTTGAAATGCTGACCACTGCTTTCACCAACAGTTTTTTCAGGACTGTTCTCTCCCAAGTGATCAGACTATGCAGTCAACTGCATGTATTACTCTCCGGTTTAAAACTTAATTATTAAAAAAAAACTTTCTTATAACTTGTCCTTTACAGATCACAAGTGGACCTAACAGTGGATCAGATGATTTTACTCACACCAGTGGGGTGGTTGTATTTGATGCTAATCAGTACATGGCTAATCTTTCCCTCCTTGTAAAGCCAGATAATGTGAGTAGACTTTCTTTCCCTTAATGTTTTTTTTACAAGGCTACTGGTAAGTGTATGCTGTAATTAAGACAAGGTGAAAATTTAGGAAATACGATTTAGGGGGCCTGGGGATGGTTTACAAGGATAATGCTATGTGCTTTTGCTTGGCTTGCTTGGTTTGCTTTGCTTGGTTTGTTTCCTTTCCTTTTCCTACCATTAATTTTTTGGCCAAGTGTCCATCAAAATTTGCACACACAGGTATGTAAGTGTGTGTTGATAGGTGCCTAGTGATGAATTGTGCCTCAGGTACCAATTGGTCCCCAGTACCTCCTGCTAAGACTGAAGATGGCAGCCCTCATCTGTTGATACATGAATTGTATACCTCTATAGCACCTACCATCCAATACTATTGACCATTATCATTCACTTTACATATGCAGCACCACCCAAACATGAGTTGACAGATGATTGATTCTAAAAAGTTTTGGGAAAAGATCAAGGCTTAAGTTTACAGTTTTGATTTGGAGTTTTGGAAAGTCAATTTTTTAAATGTACTCAGTTTGCCATTTTCAAATTTCATTCTTTAAAGCAGAACTATCGAACGCACAAGTGTCAAGTTGAATATTTTCATTGATTATAATTTTAATTTAAAATCATAGGTACCAGAAAATGATGAGACATTCACACTGGTCTTAGAATCACCAACTGGTGGAGCAGTAGTTGAGACAGGTGCTGATCAAATCACCGTGACAATCTCTGCAAATGATGCTCCATTAGAATTTCCAATTCAACAGCTCACAGTCCCTGAAAACCAGTCTACTATTGACATTGAAGTTCATAGAGGAGTTGCAGATGATGGCATTAACAGGATTGGACCTGTGAATGAGGTTGCAACTGTAGAGTGGTATCTTGCACCAGGTCTTGCCAAACCAGGGAAGGACTATAGAGACAGTAGGAGTACACTAACATTCCAACCTGGTGATACCATAAAGAAGATAACTGTTCAATTAATTGATGATAATGTGCCAGAGCAAGCAGAGAATTTTACTTTCCGTCTGGCAAATGCAAGTCAAAATGCTTACATCAAGCCACCTGGTATTGCTACTGTGATTCTTTTGCCAAATGATGATCAACATGGGGTAATTTTATTTGGGGATCATCCTTCCAGTTTAGATGAAGATAGTGCAGCAAGAGTAGGCATGTTTTATGTGAATCGTAGTGCTGGAACGTTTGGAGAGGTGACAGTTTCTTGGAAAATTCACGGTGATGCTGTAAGTTCAGTTTTTGAGAGCACATCTGGGATGATAACATTCTCTGCAGGAGTGAGTCAGTCATCATTTCAAGTCTCTGTTCGTTTAGACTCTGTGCCAGAAGAGGCTAAACAGTTCTATGTTCAGCTATATAATGTCACAGGTGGAGCAAGGCTTGAGAATGCTCTGTCAGCACAAAGAGCTGATTTTTTTGTACAAGACAGTGATAATGTGTATGGTGTCTTCCAATTTGCTGGAGATAATGAGCAAAGGCTAGATATGGTGAGTGTGTTATGTGTCGTGCAAAGCCAGGGGATTTCATGTCTACTGAGCAAAATTGATGAGCAACCTGTGATTTACTTAGAGTTATGGAGTTTGGCTAATCATGCATTGTTAAATGAATGCTGACTATAATGGTAGATGCATATTTTTGTCTCTTGTGTAGTGTATCTTGAAAATGAGATGAAGTAAATGTATTTTTATTTACTTCTAGAAGTTGTTCACCCCTGCAACAAATACAGTTTCCCTTCAACCAATCTTTACTTCAGTCTCTTTCCATCTTTTCCCCCAGGACAGTGAACCTCGTCATCTACTGCTTAATATAACTAGGATTGGGGGACTAGTTGGAGATGTTGCTGTAAACGTAAGTGTTGGCTATATTCTACCAGGAAGCAGCAGCAGTTCAAATGATAAAGAACAAGAAGTAACACTGACTGCTGGCTCCAGCAGTGTCTCCGTTACAGGGCAGATTGCCAATGATCAATTTATTAAACTTGGTGCTGCATTTAAAGCTGAGCTGACAGGAGTGGCTTTAAGAGGAGGAGGTGGGTACTTGATTTTAGTACAGTCTAAGTACACTTGAAAGCATCAAGGAAGCAAAGGTAGTTGTTCAAGCACATGGCAATGCCACCCTCCCCTCCCCCCCCATTTAAGTGATACACCTGTAAGAATGCATGGACTGGGAGATATAGTCAGTGCACAGTCCTCCTCATCTTAAGGCCTGTATACTTGGGAGCCCTAGGTGGATCAGTGTTTTGTGTTCTAGGAAAGGCTCTTACTCTCACATTGCCTCTGGATGGGTACAGTCAAAGTGTCAAGGTGACCTGACAAAATGTTGGTTCACACTTTGGGGTGGACACAGCTGTAGCTGGGGAAGGAGGGATAAATAATTTCAAATCCCTCCATGTGGCTGAAATTCGTATAAGATTATTTTATTAAGATTGGCATTCTGGTGTGTAAGCTGTCTCTACTTTTACCATTGATACAAAAATGCCACACCTTTACAAATACAAAAATTGTTATTTTTTGAAATGTCCAACAGCATCTGCCATAGTAGACTCAGTGAAACCCTCATCACCCAAGATTGGAAACAGGCCTATGGTCTACCTAAACATAACTGCTGCAGATGCCAACGGAGAAGTTGGATTTTCCACAGTACATCAGCAGGTTTCTGTTCAGGAGCCGGCAGGTCCATCATCTCGGTTTGTTCATTTGCTGCTAAAGCGAACTGGAACTGCAGATAGGGTTGTTGTATACTGGAATATCACAAGTAAAAGTGCCACTTTTTTTGCTAATGATACTGGTCCACAGAGTGGAAATGTCACATTTGAAGAAGGTAATGTTCCTCCGATGGCTTTCCATTTTCAATTTTTTTTTATACTTAATAGTGTGTTTTGTTTTGGGGGCAGGATTATGATCCTCTCACATCTACTCAAACTTTCTACACTTTCTAGTTTGTTGCAAACTGCTAGGAATGGTACCAAATAAAAATCTTGAGATAATGCCATCTCAGTTATGGTACCATAATTATTGAAGTGTATTCTTAAACAGCCCAAAGGCACAGATGTATGCACATTTTAATTTTCAGTCTTTGATGATACTTTACTTTATCTTGAAGGTCATGATGAGGTTAATGTTACAATTGAAATCAAACCAGACAGTACTCCAGAAGTAGCTGAAACCTTCACTGTCAACCTGGTCCATGTGTCAAATCTTGACAGACTCCAGACAGGAGCAGTAAGTAGACCTTCTGTTACTGCCACTTCATTTTTCACTCTTTGACAACACCTTCCTGTGTTTAATATTATCTTTGAATGTCTTTTTCAGAGTAGTGCACAAGTTACCATTGAAGATAATGATAAACCAGGGGGGACATTTGAGTTCAAGAATACCTCTTCCCTCTACTTACAGGTAGGTTTAAGAACTTTTTTATGTTGCTGCATATAAACTAAGGCAGGGGTCGCACTTACGCCTTATTTTTTTTATGTCGCGTCATAATTTGCCCCACAAATATGTCGTGACATTTGCATCACGGAAGTAATGGAGGTTGCACGTAGGCAACATAAATGATATTTGAAACCGGACTGTCAACTCTTAATATTTCACGCGCGAAAAGAGTGCCAAATATAATTTTGTAGACATGAGGCTGGTCCTAGTTTTATTAGCGACATTTCTTCAATCTATGTTCAATTTGTTAAATGTGCAAAACCTCATTGGTGTGTACGCATTGCACAACATTTGCCAATGGCAAATTTTGGCTCGTGCCGCTCTAAACCGACGTCGGCGGATGCAGAGAAGAAGAAATTGCCGACTTAGATTTTGGGAAAAAATCTGCGAGGCAAAGGGTGAAAACGAGTCATCCCCATACTGAGAATAATTAGGTGAATAGTGCAAATTTGTAAATTGGTATGGGTTGAAATTCGACATAGGGACCAGATAAAACATTTGTCGAGAAAACCTGTGACTAAAATATTGAACCGATAGCTAGCTGTGTACACTTGTTGTCTTTGCAGAATTGCGAAAATCCAAATTTTTGCTAATATTTCAGATTTGATCGACATTGCGACAGAAGAAAAACAAAAATTGTTATTTTAAGGCGATAAGACTAGATATGGCCTGCCTCGAGGCAGGACATCGGCATTTTTTATCTTTAGGTCCTTCGGACATAGTTATGTCTGGTTGCGACAAAAGGGTTGCACTTGTCGCAAGCACGCGATGACAGATTTTATGTCCAATGTAAAACACCAAAAGCGTAAGTGTGACCCCTGCCTGAGGTACTGTATTAATGTAGGAGGTTGACTCCCAGTGTGAAAGAAGAAAGTGTCTTGCTTAGGAACACAACGAGATGACATGACCAGGCCTTCAACCTAGACTTATCTGGGGCTGGCATGTTAGTCTTAAGATAACCAGGCATTACTAAAATTATAGTATGCTAGATTAATCCAGTTGTTTGGTGGAAAGTTTATTACTGATTGATTGATAAAATTGTGATTGATAGAAAACTGAAAACAGAAACCAAAAAACATGTTTCTCTGGTATGCTTTGTTTTCATTATAACTCTAGTTTTAAACTTTAACTTTTATGCAAGCTTCAATTTTCTCTTCTCAGGAGGGTGATGCCTTTAGTGTGGTCATTAAGCGACTGGGTAGTGCATTGGACACTCGCTGGGTGGAGTTCAAAATGGTTCCCTCAGGTAACAATAATCGACTCTAACACACCAAAATCAATATGTTTGAACCACTGCTAGGAAAACTAAATTGAGTACATGAAGGCAAGGCTGACAGGTACAAACTTTGCATCAAATGAATTAAGAAAGCAAATAATAGCTTTTCCCATTGTTATTTTTTTGCACCTTCATTTTTAATCTAAACGTTTTCTAATGAAAAGGGAGTTCTCTCAGGTACCTGTAAGCCCCAACACATTAGGCCCAGTTTTCCTGGTCTTGTCCAAATGTGTTAAAGGGGTACAGCCACATTCATTGACAACATTTTTTTTATCTCAGGAGCTGATGATTTCTCTGGTAGTGTGAAGTTGGTCAGATTTCTGCCTGGTGAACGAGAAAAATCTTTTGCAGTGATTGCAAAAACTGATAATGTTCCTGAGGTATGCTTGGAAACTCATATCAAAGCTTTTTTAAAATCACTGAGTCAGATTATAAAGATGACTGAGGGGAAATTAAAATCCACAAGGATGTCAAAAAAGTACAGGACTTGCATCCTGTCATCTTGACCAAACAACCTTGGTCAGGGTTTGGTTAAACCCTGGCTTTAAGATTAAATTTGGGTAAAATGAGTGGGAAATCCTTGCTGGGGTAAGATACTGAAGGCTCAAAGCTAGCTTTGACAAACATAAGTTTTCAGTCATCTGTGTTTACACCCAATCTAGATCATGTAAAGATTCCTTGGACAGGTTATAATTGTGCAATTGGTTGAGACACACATTTGAGTCAGTTTAGTCTATGAGAGTTTGCACATGTATGAACAGAAGTGAAGCCTCCCAAATGAATAAAAGTAAAATCTTATATGGTAGTCAACAAGTATGAAAACATTTTAGTCAAGTTCATCCATCTTTCTTGCTTTGGTATTCAGTCGAGATAGAGTAATCACTTCATCTTGCCTATTTTCACAGACCCAGCTATACAGCTATGAATGTTATTCTTTTTATTACTTTACAGATCGACGAGAAATTTTTGTTGGGTTTATTCAGTGAAGGACCCGAGGGACAGAAAGGTGTTCTGGGAAGTCATACAACAGTCAATGTTACCATCAAGGAAAATGATGATCCTTATGGTGTGGTTGGCTTCAGAGCCCCTAGTCTCATCGAAATCATTGGTAAATATTCTCCTCTTTTGACAACTTGACAAACTTATGAAATAAGTAATACACTCAAACAACAAATATATATGAAATACATATATATGAACTGCGGTTATGAAACGTATATGTGCACGATCCTTCGCAGTAAAGCACTATTTAAGCAATAGTGAAAATCAGACCTGAAAACAATTCAGGCCTGTACGGGATTCGAACCACTGACCTCTGCGATACTAGTGCAGCACTCTACCAATTGAGCTAACAAGCCAACTGGGAGCAGGCCATCAAATTAATTCGACATAAACCCGTAGATGATAAATCAAACAACAAATATATATGAAATACATATATATGAACTGCAGTTATGAAACGTATATGTGCACGATCCTTCGCAGTAAAGCACTATTTAAGCAATAGTGAAAATCAGACCTGAAAAAAATTCAGGCCTGTACGGGATTCGAACCACTGACCTCTGCGATACTAGTGCAGCGCTCTACCAATTGAGCTAACANTACGTTTCATAACCGCAGTTCATATATATGTATTTCATATATATTTGTTGTTTGATTTATCATCTACGGGTTTATGTCGAATTAATTTGATGGCCTGCTCCCAGTTGGCTTGTTAGCTCAATTGGTAGAGCGCTGCACTAGTATCGCAGAGGTCAGTGGTTCGAATCCCGTACAGGCCTGAATTGTTTTCAGGTCTGATTTTCACTATTGCTTAAATAGTGCTTTACTGCGAAGGATCGTGCACATAGAAGTAATACACTGTATGTTGTTTCGGAGGCACTTTAGGCAGCAATATTTGTGCAGGTTTAGTATGTTTCAGCCGTGTTGGGGAATTGTTTTAATCAGTGTTCTTCTCCCCCTCCTTCTCTCCTTGTTTTTCCTCAGCTATTTTAGTGTTAGCTTCCCTGTACCCTCTTTTGGGGGCTCGTGGCTGTGTTGCCAGTTATAACCAATCATAGAGGCATGATTCAATCAAGGGGTCGAGTACCATAGATGAAAGCTCTCGGATATATTAGTCTGTCAATTTCCTTGGAAAGATGCATATGAGAACTTAAGAATTTATGTTTCTTGATTGAAAGCAGTTAGGGATCGTGTCTTTTCTTGTTTACTTAGATGAATCCAAGGACAACACAGAAAGCGCCCGTTTTGAGGTTTCCCGCGACAAAGGAACCTTTGGAGTCGTGTTGGTTTCCTGGAATATAACTGCCAATAACGGTGGCAACCCAGCCAGCGATGTGTCTCCAGTGTCTGGTCAGGTCACTTTCTCAGCTGGAGAGAATTCCAAGTTTATAACTATTGAATCTCGACTAGACAACGTGAGTCCTTAATTCAGTTCAAATTTCTAAATAAGTCATTTTAGAGCCATTTTCAATTGATTGTCGTAAGAAACATGGGACTTGTTTGGTTTTGCTTCACTTCGCCTGCTGATTGGCCCGAAAGACTCGCACCTCACTCTCAACCAATCAAGTTCAGAACTAAAACCAATCCCGGCCCGGTCACTCGCACTTCCCGCGCTTCAGGCAATTTGCTTGTTTTTGTTTTTGGTCCTTTTTGATATCTTTGGTTTTGGTCCTATGACACTGTTTGGAAAAGCTCCCTTTCTCCTTGCAATGGCTTAGAACTTAGCTAACGTTTTTTTTTTGTTTTTTTTTTGCAGATTCCCGAAGGAAACGAGTCATTCACGTTGCGTCTCGACAACATATCGAGCATAGCCAAATTAGCTAGTCAGGATTTACTTGAAGCCACTTTAATCATCTCCAAGAACGATGATCCAGTATATTTTGCTCCCCCCACCTCAATACAAGTCCAAGAGGGTCTGTATGCCAATTTAATCATTGAACGTGGAGGTGATGGTAACGATGCAGTTGACGTTTTCTACCAAACCATTGATGGAACCGCGACTTCTTCATCTGGTGATTACCAGTCCAAGACAGCAAAAGTGACATTCGATGTTGGAGAGTTCCAAAAGACCATATCGATTATGGTGTCGAATGACAGCACCCCTGAGGGAGTGGAGACGTTTACAGTCCGTCTTTTGAACTCAACAGGGGACACAGTGCTTTATAACAAAACTGCTGCCACTGTGACCATTTTGGCAAGTGACAAAGGGACCGGAGTTTTTAAGTTTGCTTCCAGTTCACTGAACAAGACAACACAAGAGAATGCAGCGGTTGAATTTACGTAAGAGATACTCCTTACTACGCAATAGCTTCTTACGAGTTATGTGTTGTTCTTTGGCTTACTGTTATCAAAATCCGAAGTTTTTTCATTTGTGAGTGATTTGTACTTAAATTGTGCAATTTACCTTGTATTTGCTTGTGGCTGAGAAAGGAAGCAAGTCACAGTAATATTAGGACGGTGAGTTTGTTTGACGGGGAGAACAAGATTCCTGATAAGAATCATCATGTGTTTAGTTAACTAACTACTCATAGCACTTCTTTCGCATACAGGATACTTATTGAATTTGTAGTTAACTTGATTGGAGACCTAAAATTTCCTGTATGAGTGAGATACAGCTCACCCTAAAGATACAATTGTTGCATTGTTTGAAACTTTGGCTGGCAGTCTTGGACTGTCAAAGACTTTCTGGAAATTAAGATCAAGAGGAATCTTTATGATTTAATAACTTCTATGGCATATTGATCTCTACCCTTTAGTGTCGAAAGAGAGTTTGCCCAGTTTGGTGAGGTTAGAGTGTACTGGAAAGTCGTTCGCTTATATCCCAATGGCACCACTATGGACCTGTCATCAGGCCAAGAGTTTACAGATGTCGTTGACTTTGTTACATTTGCCAACGGTGAATCATCACAGTCTGTTAGACTGAGACCGCTACAGGATAGAATCGCTGAATTAGATGAAACTTTTCAACTTCAGCTCGTCAATGCAACAGGTATTTATCTTACAAAAGATCTTCGTCCATGTCCTCATTCATAGATAATTTTTCTTTGTCTCATCAGATGTTGGATATTTTGTAATCTAAATGATTTACCTAATCAAACTCGAGCGCTCCGAGAAGAGCAAATACTCGAAAACTAACTGTCATTAAAAAAAAAAAAACATAAATGAGCATGGCTTTGTGGTAATGTACAATGTTCTTGAGGTACAACTAATTTTTCTGTAGCCAGGAGTAATCTCATTAATAGGCCAAAACTAACATGTCATAATTGACATAAGCTACATGGTATAGCTACCGTAACGTCTTTTAGCGAGTAATGTAATCAGGAGGCGTAGAAATCACTGTCCATGAAGCAAACTCATGACATTCGACTGACAAACAACTCTTCACACGACTTTGGTAGAGACATCCACTCAGAATGTTGAAAAGTCTTTGCTGTTACTGACATTAGGGCCTTTAAGATGTCATGCCGGCGCGCTTGGTAACTGGCGACAAAGAGTGAACTTGCGTTTCTCAAAATTTTTCATGTATTTCAATGTGTTTACCTTCTGTAGCGGCGAGCTTCATCTCTGACTTCTTTTTAGGAATTCAAACTGGTGAAAACGGTGTTATAAGCAGTCCTTCGAAAGCATCTCTGACAGTTACCACCAATGATGACCCTAATGGATTGATGAGGTTTGAAAAAAGATCTTTGGACATTCCAGAAGACTATAATCCTGGAATGAAAGCTACCACCATAAAAACTGTTACAGTTTTGAGAGATCAAGGCTCATGGGGAAGCATTAAGGTAAGATTTACGACACGTGGGAAACCTGAAGAGTATCCAGAAGATTGAGTCAACATTATGAGTATGCTCAGGGGCTGTAGCCTGAACGCTGTAGTACGTTTACACTTCAGAAAAGCCCACGTCAACAGCAAAAAAGAAATTTGTCTGTATGCGATCATTCTACCTATGCGTTTTGGAACGTGGTTGGAAATTTCCGGAATGTCTTTGGTTCCGACATATCTTGAGTGACAATTATGTTCTCTATAATAATCTGAAGCATTTGGCTTAAAGTATTAGAAGCTGTCCTATAAGTCTACGCCCATTGGCACCAACACATGTAGTTAAGTTTCCTGGAAACGCTATGTGTCATGAATGTGGGAAAGAAAATCTGGGTCTTCTGTGCTGAATCGAGCCCTTGATCGTGACATGATGTTTGTGTGACAATGCCCCACCATGCTAGTAATCATTTTGTGTACTGTACCGCATGTTGGTTCAACGGCACCTAGGCAATAGTGTGTTGTTGTGTCTCAAGAGTGCACTTTTACTTTTGTTTGAAGGTTGCTTGGGAAATTCAAACAGCTTCAGCGTCATTGATTAGCATTAATGATAATGCTTATGACTTGTTCCTACTTGGCTCAAAGATGTCAGGTGTTGACAGCCGGCCTGATCTCCGCAGATTAAATACAGAGACTTATGTGTATTGTTTTTATGGAACTAACAATGGTAAGGCTATGAAGTTGCGTTACACACTAACCCTCAGTAGTGGTGAACGCGCAACGTTTCATACAATACATTAAATTTATGCAGCAAACAGGTGATGAGAATGAACATCCTTATTAGATCTGGATACACGATCGTGATTGTTATCTTTACTGACTACCAAGGAAGCGTACGGCACGAAACATTGCTTTTTGGGGGAAGGGAACGATAGGTTAACTTAACTAGGGCAAAAGAGATACAATTGAAGTAATAGGGGTTAAAAAGATTAACGAGTCAACAATTTTGTCGCCGATTGCAGGTAAATGTCTCGAAAATTGCACAATGTGAGATTGAAAATTCCGTTCTTACATAGTATTTACCATCTAACCTTTGCTGGTTTTGTAATCACAGAATCATTTGTTGAACTGTCGGCTTCCACCAGTCCACAATCAAAGTTTAGTGTGAGGTGAGCATTATTCACATTGTTTTTTAAAGATTAGTTTGAAATTAGTTTACAATTGCACCATTTGCAAGAGGAGTGGCAGTCTTCCATAGTGTTACTTTCAAGTAAATTCCACATTGATTGGTAAATTTTAACCGCTCTGATTGGTGCATTTTGATCCTTGTTTTTTTTTTTTTAGGGAAGTTGATCCCTGAATAAGCGTCTAATCCTGTTCTAATGTCTTCATTCTTTCAGATTCTGGGTGAATGCTACTAAAGGAATGTATGGATATGTGCTGACCAGTGTGGATGGAAATGCCGTGAACTTTGCTTTGGCTCTAAATACGACTGGATCTACTACAATGGCAGACTTTTTCTATTTGTCAAACAAGGTACAAGAAGCTGATAAATGTGCTGACTTTTGGAGATCATGGTCTCGTTATCGGGATAGTAACGCCGTAGTGAATGATGATTTCTATGCTTGCTACTTACGAGAAGATACGCTTTTGATTTTTCTTGTTTTTGTTAGATTTATGACCAAAGGGATCCAGAAGTAGCCAGGTAGCATGTGGAAAAAAAACAAAAGAAAACAAAACAAAACGAAATAAAAATCAAACGAAAGAAATAAAATAGCGCGAACTAAATGTAAACTTCACAAAGCTGGACCAAACGAACAAATTGTAATTTTGATCGGGGAATCTTAAGTAGAAGTGTTCTGTACAATTACATTTAATGCAACTCACAATGGAGAATGGAAAACATCTCTGGTAGATATTATGAGACGCAAAATCGTATACCTCCACTTTGTTTCAGACTGAGATAAATCTAGGCAAGAACATTGCAGACAACAGCTGGCATTTTGTGGTTTTCACTGTGGACGTAAATGTTGTTCAGTTCTATGTCGATGGAGATCCAGTCGGCAATGCACAGTAAGGATTTGAAACTAAGTTTTATGATTAAGCACATATCTATGATATTTAAAATAAAAAAAATTTCATTTATGCAAAATTCTGAATTTGGCACACCTTTTTATTGGTTCCTGCTCATGTTCTTCGAAACGTAATGGCTAAATGGTTAGCAGGATGCACAGTGGATCGTGAGGTCCAGGGTCGAGTCAGGGTTAGGTCATATCTGTTGTGTTCATTTGAAATATTCTCAAGAGCCTCTCTCCATCTAGGAGTGTAAATTGGTACCGGCAAATTGTCAGCGAAACGCGACTGCTGTGGAGGTAGTCACGGTGGACCAAAAATAACGTCCCATCCAGATGGAAGAGCATTTTATTCTTATAGCTTCATGAGATTCGAAGTCGTGGAGCTGGGATAAGCTGCAGGAATAGGGCGTCACTTGACTCGTAAGATGATGCAGGCGTTATGACGTACATCCTTCATGTACGGATGTTTTTTTATGTTTTTCAAGTTAAGCGCCGCGTGCGGAGTCTAACAGGCCACCTTAAACCTTACCTAGCGTCATGTGTATTCCATTTTTAATGACGATTGTTCTTTAACCTTTTTTTTAGTCCGCTCCCTTCAGGATCATTAAGTGCTAATGCTGTTTACCGCGTGGGAAAAGGACCTACCTCAGAATCACAGTTTACAGGATGCATCCAGGACATAACAGAGTATCGAGAGGTGATAGTGGCAAGGTACAAACCCCTATATTGTTCTGATGTGAGCGACCTATCACTCTATGTAGAAGGTTGTCTAGGGGAAGTCTCTTTTCCGCAAAACGTGAATTTTTATCAATAATTCTTCATGATCGGTGGCCTAAGGGTAAACTGTGTTGAACTAAAAGTTATAACGCGTTTCACTGTCAATTTCCACGTGATTTTTGATACTCACCCTGTGCAATTTTCAATGGGGGCCAGGTGAGCGATGAAATCATAGCTTTAAAGTCAGCACCTTAACAAATTGGCCTCGTCATATGAATTGAGCTTGTATCATTACACTGTTAACCGTTCAATCTCGTTTTTGCCAGATTTATCTCAGTCGGGTTTAATTCTTCAAACGCTCCATCTCTTCTCGTCTTTGTCAAGTTTCCTAGTCTACTAATGATGAATAAAGTAACATGTTGCGTGCTTATTTTTTGTCGTGATTCGAGCTCCACCGTCTCCCACTTTTTTCGCCATGAACCTCATTACTGCACTTTTGGGTTTTGTCACTAAATTATGCAGTAGCGAAATTTGAATTCAGCACTACATGTAGCCTCTTTTGTGTTTTTTTTTTCGATTAGGTCAGTCAAAGAAATGGCCAACTCTAACAACGAACTGACACCAATAAATGGCTATTTAACCTTTGAGCCTGGTGTAACACAAAGGACATTGACGATAAGCACTATTGATGATAACGAACCAGAAGATGACACGCCCTATAATGTAGTCCTCTACAGTCCTTTGGGCGGGGCGCGACTGGACACTAATGAGTTCTGGATGGATCTTAAAGGTAAAATGAATAATTATTTCACATTTGATATACCGAACAGCTCTAAGTAACGGCACTTTTAATTTAAAATGTGTATTCCTCAAACGAGATTAAATTTTAGTTCATTTTCGCTATTAATCAAGCACTTGAAAAACTCAGTGTATCTCACCAGAACATTCCAGTAACAATCTTTAAGTTCTACATGTATTTTCATTCCTGAAATTTTCTTGTAAGATGCACCCTGTGTATTGGACTTTAGACCTCACTTTTGTAATTGAAATGCAAACTTCGGACATTTCCCGCAGTAAAATTCTCTATTTGTAAATTTCATGCACGAAGAGGAAGAGCAAATTTTGTGCAGAGGAATTACCTCCAAAATCCAAGCACAGTATAAATATCCTCCATCATTTTTTCATTGTATATAACCCTTTTTTATCAATCTTGAGTCGAGCAAATGCACAAGAGCAGCGTCTACAGCGTCAGAAGGAACAGAAAAACACTGATGAAAGAAAAAAATATCTGTCTTGATGAATGTGCTGTCTTTTTTTTCTTTTTCAGTACTTAAGAGTGACAACGCCAATGGTTTGTTCGGTTTAAAGTCAATCAATCCAATAGTGATCAGCGAATCTACTAACGTTACTGTGACTATTGAACGGCTCAAGGGTCGGTATGGGGCAGCCACTGTCTATTGGAGTGTATTCAAGAACTCATCTTCTGTATTAGCTTCAGAGGATTTCATTATGGCCAGTGGAAGTGTGAATTTTGCTGAGAATGAAGACGAGAAGGTATGAAAATGGTCTTCTTCACAGCCGTTCACAGCACATTCATGGAATGAAGCTAAAGATGTATTGAATGAAGCTAAAGATGTGTTGAATTGAACAATATCTTATTAACCTCAAGTTGAACATTAGCGGATAGTTTGGGTCAGAGTGGTTTTGGCTGGGTTTAGAAAGTAATCTGAAATTGTTCATGTTACTCTCGGCCGCGCCTCGACCAACTCTTTTGTCTCTCTGGCGTTTTCTAAAGTTCCTGCGTGTATCCACACCCCCGATGTACGCCCTTTAAGTAAGAACCAATCTCTGGATGTATGTTTAATAACAGTTTTGTTGATACGTTGCTCTTTCCAGGTTGTGATCATTCCTGTAAATGACGACGCATTACCAGAAGTAGATGAATATTTCTCTCTCAATTTAACATCTGTTTCCCCCACGGACGGAAGCACTCCAACAAGTGCTGCAAGCCTCAGACCTGGTTTTACACAAGTTGATATAACTATTCGAGAGAATGACTATCCCAATGGATTACTGCAGTTCATGCATGCTGTTCCAGTTGCAAATGGACCAATTCTGCCATCTTCTTCCCAGTTTAATGTTGACACTCGGGAAAGTGCTGGGACACTTACACTTCATGTGATCAGAGCTCAAGGAACATTGGGTGAGTCGAGCAGTGTCTTGCACTGAATGAAATCATCTAGTCAGCTTTTTATTTGGAGCAATTGTTGTCCTCCACAGTCGAAGAACACAGAGATTATCTCTAGAGGCGAGACAACACCTCTTGGAGAAGTATACTCCAGAAACTGTATGGTTCTGCCTCCACTATCAAAACTTAGTTTTGCAATTGTGGTACTGAGAGATTTTTCATCTCAGGGAGTCTTTCCTAACTTGGTGAAATTTGGCTTTCAAAGAGGTGGAAAGCGATTTCTGGAGCTTACTTCTTCGTCAAGAATTTTTTAGATGTGCTGAGCATCTCATTTTTTTTTTCTTATTGGCAGGGAGTGTTAAATGTCAGTGGAAGACTATTGCAGGCACAGCAAAAACTCCAGAAGATTATATTGGTAGTACAGGCGCTGTTGAGTTTGGTCCTGGCGCTCGAAACAGCACAATTGACATCCGAATTGTGGATAACAATATCTCAGAGCTGAATAAGACATTTAGAGTAGAGCTGTTCAGTGCCGAAGGAGGAGGTAGGTTTTGAGGTGTTCACTGTTTTCTTTTTTCAGTAGCTCGTGCTTGCACTGAGTGATCCTCCATGCAGGGAGCTCTTTGCCCGAAGCGACGTCTTCTTCCCCTCCTGCCAGGAGGATGGAATGGTAGTTTATCACAGTCTTCCCCCCTCCCCCTTTCCACAAGAATTTTTGTTTCAAGCAGCTATTAAAGAGGGAGCTTAAGTTTCCCCTAAACTTTCAAACGTTTTCGTCGAATATTATTTTGGAAGCGCGTGTTTGACCGTTTTGCCGCCCCTCTCGGAATGGCTGCACATGCCTAATTTAGATCAAACTTTTCAACGCGAAAATTTGCTTCAGAATGCTTGCTCGTTTAACCAATCCACGTTTTGGGCTACAAAAACGTAAATGTTTCACCGTTTAGCTGGAAGAATCAGGGGATATGTGGTACATAATGTAACAAAACCACATTACTTGAGTGATCCTAAAGCCGGGACGAGATGTTTTTGTAGCTCGCGTCAACAAAATCTGCCGATTAAAGCAGTTAACCTTGATGAAGCTACGCTCTTCCATCCTATCAAGAAGGAGTTTGATCAGAATCGCGCTTTTTAACGCAATCGAGCGGACTGTTTCTTTCGGGAACATACATTAAAGGACAAGTATTTGATAATACAAATTTAGCAGATGCATGTACATGGTGTGGAAATCAGTCATTCGAGGCAACCTCATTTGACATATTTTGTTTTCGTAGCTGAACTGAATCCATCTGCCAAGATTGCATTAGTGACAATACTTCCTAGTGATGACGCGTTCGGCATCATCAGCTATTCTCCAGACTCTCTCAACCGCTCTGTCCGTGAGGGTAGCGGAAGCACTGTAAGCCTGACTGTTCAGAGGACGCGTGGTGTATTAGGCCCATCATCTGTCTACTGGGAGGTGTCAAGAGATGGTGCGGTTGATGTAGAAAACACGAATGGCTTTGTTGTGCTCGCTAAGAACAGCAATAGCACACAGATTACCATTAGGATCAAAGAAGATGCTGTATGTATAGAATTTTCCTATACAATTTTTTCGTGTTGGTATTTTAGTGTTTTGATAACCTGGAGAGATGCAAATAGTTGTTCAAATGACGATCGATCACTATACTCTTAGTTTTTGGAAGTGATTGGTCTGTTTTGCAGTTAAAGTAGTTGTTGGAAGGCTCCGTTAGAGTTTATCGGTTGTGTCTGCTCTTGTTTAATTTGTCGACAAAGTTTGGGTTGTTCTGGTCGGTTCGTTGGTTCTGTGAATGTTGCGAATAAGTCATTTGTTGATTGCCAATAGTTGTTGACATCTTCCGAGGGGGGCCTGTAGTAACCCGCTTTCGTATTGTTATTTTATGCCTAGGTCAAACATTTAGCAGAGCTACAGGTATTAGGATTACATGTCGATATTTATCTGCGTTGTGGTTGTTGACATCACACTTGTTGGGGTTTTTGCCAGTCTCCGACATTACTATTGTAACCCGTTCTTTGTCCGATGTAACATTTGCGTGTAGGTTCGTCTGTATATTCAACGTTAGTGAAAGCCGAAGTGTGGCTGCGAAGTGTGGTTGACGGAGGTAGCAAGGTTGTAGGCTCTGTAAGATATAACATTTGTTGATAACTTTTAAGGTAACCTGTAGAAATAAATTCTTGAATAAAAAAGATATGTTTTTTTTTTTGCAGCATCCTGAGCTTGCAGAGAGCTTCCTAGTCCATCTTAGAAACGTGTCTGCAGGCCGCCTTGCGGATCATGGAACACAGTCAAACGTCACTATACTCGCCAGCGACGATCCTTACGGCGTGTTCGTCTTCTCCCCTTCACAACTGACGATCAGTGAATCCAACACAACCGTGAACTTAACGATACAGAGGCTGTCAGGGGTACAGGGGATGGTCAGGGTAAACTACAGTAGCACCAATGCAAACCGCATACCTAATGTTAGAATGGCTGTGGAAAATGATGATTACGTGCCCATCGTGGGGTCTGTTGTGTTCAGTGAAGGGCAGATGAATGCAAGCATCAGTTTAATGGTGCTGGATGATAATGTCCCTGAAGATGCAGAGACAGTAATGGTTAATTTAACAGAGGTGCAGCTGGTTAGTGGCCATCCGGTGTTTCCTGGTAAGTCTTAATTTTGTGTGGTCCATCTTTTTTTATTTCATGACCGAGTTCACAATTTACCATCTTCCTTACTCTTTTTACCTACACAACGCTTTCGACGGCACTGTTCATCCTAGTATTATGGAGAACGTCTCGCATATGAGCCCAGTATTAGCCTAACTCATCGTAGAGTCCTCTGTAGCTCAGTGATCGAGCATGGGAGCGTGGAGGCTGATGCTCTCGGGTTGGATTCCCTGAGGGTAACTCGGGCTTTTTCTTTGTTCCACACTCCTGACAAGACGAATACCATATTTCTCTCTTTATTTCATGCCTTTTTGATATGCCATACTGTCGTGAATTGCCATCGCGAGTTTGCTTGTTAATATTACTTTGAAGTCTTTGTAAAGAATTCACTTTTCTTCTCTACATTTTGGTAGCTATCGATCGAATAAATTGTTCTAATTCGGTTTTATGTCAAACAGCACCAGAAAGTTCCCCACGAATAGGTGCCTCACGAGTTGCACAAGTTGTCATCGAAAAGAACGACAATGCCAATGGAATTGTTCAACTGTCATCCAGTAGCGTCAGTGTCCCTGAACCGTACACGGGATCAGTTGTGAATATCACCAGAACTGCTGGGGCTTTTGGCACAGTAAGTGATCTGAATATCAATTTTTCATTCTGTTTGCCAGTTGACAGTTCTCGAAATTTTGGTTATGACAAATTTGGTATTTTATAAAACAGTATCTGATAGGTGTTATGTTTCTTTCCTCTCATTCCCGTTCTGCTCAACTTTTTATTGATTTTTTTAATATGGTTTTTGCTGGAAATGAAACAGTTAAAAACTCCCTGAACAAGGTAATAAAATGAGTGGTGAGTGTAATTTTCAAAATGGCCGCCATACGATCTGATGTTTCTCAGGGAGAAACGACAAAAAAAAAAGCTAGTTAAACTTAAGTCGATGTCTCTTCGACTGGCCGTCACTCGGGTGAATTACGAAAAATTATTGTATTTAGGCAAAGCGAATGTTAACGAATGCCACGAGAATCACTTGACAATATTTCCCTCCTCTTGAGTGATGGAGCTTACGCGTGTACTACTTACTTCTTTACAGATTTATGTGTCCTTTGAAGTTGTTGCATTGTCTGCCAATGGTTCAGATTACGGAATTGATTCAAGAAACGTAACTTTAGTAGAAAACCAGCAAGAGGCTACGGTCCCTGTGTTTGTTATTCACGATCTCACCCCAGAATTCAGCGAAACGTTCCAAATCAAGCTAACTGGTGTCGCTGGTGGGGCTGTGCTAGGCACGCCTGTGGAGTGTACAGTTACCATACTGGAAAATGACTATCCCTTTGGCTTGATAGGTTGGTGATAGTCGAGGTTTTCGATTGAGAGCTGTAAAAGCAAATTCAAATTAATTACAACGACTCATCAAAATAGTTCAAAATGCTCGTGAGAACTTGCTGTAGAGCAAGTCACGGTTGGTTTTAGTATTGCATTTATAGCGATTTTTAACATAATGCCAAAAGTGATTTGGGATTACCATTTTTTTGCATTTCTTCGCTTTGTGATTTGTCCAGAAACTCTTCCTTGTATGAGTAACAGTCTGGCCAATAGGTTCGTAAAGCCTTGCTTCTATAAGGGTATTCAGAGGGCCTTGTTTAGTCCAAATAAGGTAGTCATCGCGACGATCTCATGGAATCCAGGCAACAATCTCTAACGGCCCGAACGATCGGAACGACGACGATCGTCTGTAGAGAACTGAGTTGGTGCTTGAAGCTTTGATCACTCCAATCCTCGCTATCACGTAGAAATCAGGCCTAGGACTAAGCCATAATCCTCAACCTATTTACTAAAAGCTATTTGATTTTCTTCTTTTTAGGCTTTGAGAATTCGTCACTATCAAAGTCAGTGAAGGAAAGAGACACTACCAACACAACAACGCTTCAGGTAATACGAACATTTGGTCTCAGAGGAGGTTCTCGAGTTCACTGGAAGGCGTTTTTGAATGGAGTGTTGGCAAGAGATGACGTCGAGCCTGTTGAGGGGAGCCTTGTATTTGCCCAGGGAGAAAACAGGAAGGAGATAACTTTGAATATTAAAGCGGATGCTATTCCTGAAATTTCAGAGGTTTGATTTCAGTTTTATAAATTTTTCGTGGTCAAATGACGATTAGAGAAGCCAATTAATCAGGGATGGGGTCGGATCCCAGAATGTTGCAGCCACGTTCCTAGTAATGTAATGCGACGGAAAGGAATAAATCGCAGGGCTTACTGTTTACTAATACCAAATGGTCTTCAGTTTTAACTGTTGCATTTGTAGCGTCGTCTTTGATTTAACTTACTAGTGATTCATTTTACTTAAACTTAAACTTACGTTGAATACAATTGAAATGATAACATCTGTGTCGAAAGCAGTAACTAGGCAGATGAGTAAAGTAAAGTTTTAAGCAATCTAAACAGCAGACGTGTTTATTTACAATTACAATGATAAGGTGAGATCGGACGTCAGCATTATCTGGCGCGTCTAGCAGTCGCTTCAGTCCATGTAACGATCTCACCTTCCCGCCCGTCCCACCCCAGGGGAGGACATCCACCACACAGTAATCTCGTGCGTGGGAAATTAACGTCTCCTATTCCTAACCTAACCCTAAATACTCCGCCCCTTAATCTGTAAATTGACTCTAGGTGACTAACAGTCAGTACGAGGCGGATAGTATAATCGCAATGAGAAGTACTTGTGTAAACTACGTACAGCTGGCCAGAGAAATTTATGAAAATGATCTTGGTACTTGTTAGTAACACCCGTTACATCTGTGTATGAGGGAGACCACATAAAATAGTCATTGATGCCCCCCAAAAACACGACCTTTTATTTTAACCTTGACACTGTAATTTTCATGAACTTTACCGTCTGGCAATGAGCAACTTCATTTCTTAACTTCCTTGCATCTTCCACGACCAAGGAAATTTTTCATCGGTCCATCTTTTTTCTCTGTCCTCTCTATGAGTCTTTTAATTCTTTCAGTTTGTTTTACTTTCCTCTCTTGCTTTTTAAACATTTATGTTTTTTTTATGTTTATTTTGTGCATGTGATTTTTTTTAAATTTTCGTTTGATATTTATTTCATTTGATTTTTCGTTGATTTTCTGTTAATTTTATTTGATTTTGATTTATTTTGTTTTATGTTCCTTTGATCATCTTCCCGAAGCCCTTGGACAACGGTTCCGTAACCGTAAGCATGTTGAAATAAATATAGTGTAAATAAAATAAATTTAAAAATTATGTTTTGTTTTAAATTCGTTTCATAGGAATAAACTAGAAACTGAATGTTAATGAAAGTCACGTTAAAAGGCAGAATTGGCGCAATATTCGTTCATGGTAATTGTTAAAATGAAGGTACAGCACTTGGGAAACAAAAGGATGAAAAATAAAAATCGAAAAACCGAAGGGAGCTTGTAACTCTTTTAGATAGGTCGAAGCAAACATAGCATGGTAAAAAAGAATCAGTAATTGCATTAAACGGTGTTTTATCCTCAAGCTGTTATTTTTAGAGAGGTCTCTTTTTAAATTACAGGTTTTAATTAACTTCATTCGGATCCCAAGCGTGAATTAGTAATGCCTACGTAAACAATACTTTAAGATTATAGGAGGATCTAACAGACTTAATAAAAGTGGAAGAAATGCAAAGAAATGTCAAGTCGTAAGATTCCTAAGATGGTTCATAGTATTTAGAAAATCATCGTTACTCTATCATAAACTCTATTATCTTTAAAAGGGCGAAGTTCTGTAAGGTGATCTATGCCATGTTAGTGAATTGCTCAAAAGTTTAAAGCGGTGATTGTATTTAATCATTTCTCGGTTAAGCTATTGCTCGTATTTTTTCGCTACCTGCATAGTGTTAATTCATAGAAAGACAGTTAAACGAAATGTTATTGAAGTTTGATTCAGTGCATGGAGAAAGTCATTAATCTACGCGACCCTTGCATTGTCTTGGTTATTCTAGGTTATTGATGTCAACTTTACGTCAGTGGAGTTTTTGTCTGAGGGTACCCCCTCACTAGACGAAGCTACTCGCGTTGCCAAAGTTCACATAGAGCCTAATGATGCTCCCCACGGGATGATAGAGTTTGCCCAATCTTCGTACAATGCTTCAGAGGGTAGGGGTGCGTCCCTGTTGGTCTTGAGACAGTTTGGTACCACTGGTGACATCCGAGTTTTCTTCAGGTTTGCACTGGAACATTGCGTCGTTACTATTAATGTGATATACCGTTCAGCTGATGTGTTTGACTAATCACTTCGTTTCCCAAAGAAAAGTTTAAAACATCGCTCAAGAGTATAGGCTTACTCAAAAAAATTTAATCCCTATTTGAATCCTAACCTTAGTTTGCGAGAAAATTAGGTAACGCAGAACGTTCACACGTAGCCAATTTTAAGAGAGTATTAAAAAAAAAGATAACGAACTGTAGTAGGGAGACAATGTGAACGAGTCACTTTCTTATTTATTTCATTTATTTGTTTTTTTTTAACAGTACCGTAGAGCACGTCGGAGGCACTCAAGCCAGGCCAAATGTTGACTACATTGCGGTCACAAACAGCTCTATCGTTATTCCCAGCGGAAATGACTCAGCAAATATCACCATCACAATCCCTGATGACAATCAACCCGAGCTTGGAGAAGTTTTTGACGTGGTGTTGGAGCATGTGGAGCTAGTTGGGCAACCATCGCCAGTCTTTCCACCCCAATTGGGCGGAAACCAGAGAGCTGCAGTAACAATCGTGATGAGTGACGACGCTCATGGTTTGATAGTCATTAAAGCTCTCAGTTCAGACCAGGGAACTGATGGTAGCCGCATGACGGTGAACGAAACTGAAAACTTTCTGGTTCACCTGGTGATTGAAAGGCACAAAGGTAATTAGGGCTTTTTTCGTCATTGTTGTTGATGTTGTTGTCGCTTAACTGATTGATTTAGGTCAGCAGTTGGTTAGATTCCACAAAGTGTTAAGAACGCTATATCCTTTGTTCTCTCGGTGCCCTTTCTTGAAAATGTGAGAGGGGCAGAGGCGTTTAACCGAGGGAGGAGAGGTGGACAGACCCACATGCCATATCGTCTGGAATTTTTGCCGCTCGTCCGACAACAGGAAACTGGAGCGAATTCAAGAAAGAGCTTTGAGAGTAATTTACAGTAGGAAATCTGGAACCTATTACGAGTTACTAAAGTTGGCTAAGCTACCCATGTTAAGAAACAGGCGATTTCAAGACATTGCGGTCCTTATGTACAAAGTAAAGAACGAACTTTGTCCTTCATACATTAAATAAATATTCCAAAACAATAACATCAACAGTTCTAGCTTAAGAAACTCAGATTTTGTTATACCAAGACTCAATACCGTGACCTACGGAAAACATAGCTTACGATATCTGAGTCCATTTCTCTGCCCAAGATTAGAAACGAAAGTCAGAAACTCAGAATCTTTAAATACGTTTAAAACAAAAGTCCGAAAATTAAACCTAGTTGGATTGATGGATGGTAATTGTAAAAATTGTACATTATGCAGTACTGAGTTAATTAAGCATCCTACAGCGAGGGACTTATAGGATTTAGGATTTTAATCATAATTCTTAACTTTTAATTCACTATTAGTTAGGTGTCCACAATAAGTTTACGTAAATGTAAGTTAGATTTACCTGACACGTTAATAAAGTTTTTATCTCATCTTATCTAGTAGGAGTGCTTTTGTAAAGAAAGGCGGTCATTTGACTCATTCACTCTTTTTACGCATTTTTTTATCTTTAGGCACCATAGGCCAAATCTCTGTCAAAATTGAGGTGCTGCAGAATGATGCCTCGGCCGGCAGTGACTTCATAGCGAGTGAACCCATATTTACTTTTGCTGACAAAGATAACAGCAGCCAGAACTACCTGTTGACCATCAAAGATGATAATATCCCGGAGATTGACGAAGAATTTGTTATCAAGCTTGTGAATCCCACTGGAGGTGCCAGAGTGGCTCCTGGTCTGGGGAACAATGTGACTATCATTATACAAGCGAACGACGGTGTCGCGGGACAAGTGGGATTCGATGAGCAGTCGAGATCCGTTGTGGCCATGGAAGGAAGCCAAGTGTCCTTGTTGGTGAACAGGACTCGGTCAAATGGACGTGTATCAGTGGATTGGCTCATTGCTAAGGCAAACGCTTCATCTGACTTTACTGATGTCAGTGGTACCGTCGTGTTTAATGAGGTATGGGCCTTCAGGGTTTTTCTTTCTACATGTGTTTTCAATCTGGTTCCGATTGCGGGATATTGTCGTGAAGGGGTCGAATGCGGCCCAAATTGTGCGAGACTAGGTCGCTTTAGTTACATTATGTGATGATAAATATTAAGACCCATAAAAGTCGAAAGGCTGTTTAGATAGCTCTCAATAACTCAAACTCACCATGGGTTGAAGGCTGCCAGTGTATTGGGAAATTGCAGCAACTTCTTGCCTTCTTGTCTGTGTTTTAGTGGGCAGTTTAGGAGATTGCTATCTGTACGACACCTAACCCCAATACTATTTACGAAGCGTTTGAAAGTGGTCTTTTGACATTTACTTTTAGGGTGAAAAGCACAAAACAATAGACTTAACAGTCCGCAATGACAGCACCCCAGAAACCAACGAAGTGTTTGTGGTTCAGCTGAGCAATATTCAGACTTTTGGCATTGCTTCCGCCGGTGAAGCCAGTCTTATTACTGGGAAAACAACTGCAACAATTAGCATCAGTGCTAGTAACAGACCTCATGGCGTTATTGAGCTTGAAGCGGGTTCACGGTTCGTATCTCGATCAGACGAGCGGAACTTCACCTTGACGGTATCCAGGCTGTTCGGAGATATTGGTAAGACGGAAATCTGTGGTCTTAAGGATGCTGTTTGTTTAAGCAGCCCTGTGTACAATAGTTAAGCATAAAGACTTTTCTTGTGTTTTCATAGCTCCATCTTTACACGAGGCAGATACGGAAGACACAATACAAATCCGAAAATCCAGCGCAAATCTTGAATATTTTGATTTGTCTTGTATCACTTTTCCTTCAGGTGCTGTAAGAGTTTATTATGAAGCGATGCATGGCAACATCACAGCGTTACAGTCGAACCAGCGCCTAGCACTACCCGAAGAGGACTTTGTTTCTGGGAGGAGAAGTATTGTAATTGGAGACGGTGAAGATGTTGGCTCCATTCCCGTATGGATCAAGGATGATGAGATCCCAGAGCTTGGTGAAGTGTTCTTGGTTAACATCACAGCAGTTGAGTTGGTGAACCCGTCACTGTGGAACAACACCATTCCACCCATTCTGGGACATCATCATGTTTCTGAGATCACACTATTACCTAACGATGATCCGCATGGCGTATTTAGGTTTCCTAAAGAAAGGTAAACAGGGCAATAGTAAGGATTGGGCTTTCGACAGTTATTATTATTTTTTAATTATACTTATCGATTTAATATGTTCCTATCACAGAGTTTATGTCACAGAGTCACGCAATCCCTTCAGCCTTACTGTGCTACGTGACAAGGGTACTTTTGGTGAAGCACAAGTGAACTATTTTGTGCAAACGATATCCGCCAGTTTGAATGACTTTAACATAACAGGTTGGAGTGGTCCGGAGGTCACCTTGGTGTTTCCCAACGGAGTCAGTAAACAGAACATCACAATTTACGTGGCTGATGATTCTGAATCTGAAGGGGAAGAAACTCTTAAAATAGGCCTGACTCGAAACACAGGAGACACAAAAATTGGAAGTCCTTCCGTTCTCGATGTTGTTATAGTAGCTAATGATGATGCGTATGGATTGTTTAGCCTCGCTTCGTCGTCGCTTACGATCTCTGAGCCTGGCACAGGGCCTGTTACTGAGGCTGAATTTGAAATTGATCGAAGTGGGAATACCTTCGGAACTGTTATTGTTTCTTGGGAAATCCTTAATGTATCTGCATCGTCAGATTTGTCTTTGGTTAGAGGAAATGTCACCTTTAGCGATGGAGATACGCGGAAGACGTTTAAAATCAAGGCGTTGCTTGATTCTGTACCAGAAAAGGAGGAAACGTTTGTGGTGAAGCTGACTCTACCTGGTGAGTTAATGACGTGTCTGTGGAATAGAAGCAGGCAACTATTTTTAAATACAAAAGTGTTCTCGCAGTCGTTGTACATATGTTTAAGTTGAATTCTTTTTACCATACCAAATAGGAAATGGAAGGCTGGTGCATCCATCTGAAGCGCTGCTTACCGTTACGGAGAATGACTCACCCTACGGAGAACTCGAGATAGTGTCCAGTACTTCGATGAGCAGTACCGTCGACATAGAAGAGGATCATGGCATAGTGAAGGCCAAGGTCATCCGTAGCAAAGGTGACTTCGGTAGAATTACCGTCGACTACATGACAGTGTCACAAACGGCTGGTTCGTTACCCGGGAATGTGAGTTACTTCGAAAAAGTACAGCAGTTAAAGACCGTTAGTGCATACAGTTGGCACGTTTTTTCCGCTTTTGGCGACGTGTATGCTTTGCTTGCCAGTACCAACAGGACTGGATCCTTGCCATCTGCGGTTGATGATATCGGCAGGGGTGAATACTTTGGTTCGGCTTTGTTCCGTTGGCAAGGCGTTCTTGTTCCTGTGCAGGTACGTTTTGGTGGGGAAAGAACTTCAGTAATCTATCACTGAAGGGAAAGCTACAAATCACTTTATCTTTCAAGCGTGCTGCATGTTTGAGCTCCAATTTGAATAAGACATTTACGTATAGAAACGATTTAGAAAATTTCCAGATGACGAAATGGGCAGCCGTTTTGCTTCGTGTATGAGCGCTTGTTCCACTTATTTTTATGACCAGAATATGAAAGAGGAAATTAAAGTAGGTATATTTGAGAAACCCATCATGTTTCAGACTTTTTCAAAATCATGGTTGGTAATTTGTTCAGCTGGCAGGCTAGTCTGATGATAGAGGAAATATAACGTAAGTGAAACTCATAATTTTTTATTTAAGAGTAGCTCATTTACTTTACTTGTCTTTTATTAGACCATTGCCACTGATGGTGCTGTGGCCTGGGACTCTATGTTGGTTGGAGACAAAGTTTACCTAGCAGTCGCTAATTATGGCAACGAGGGACGGTACGAGGTACACTCTAGAATATACACCATGGACAGCACTGCAAAGCTGACTGTGCTACAAAACATTTCCACCCAGGGAGCATCAGACATTAAGTTCTTCCGTCCGCCGGGGAAAACTGACATCTATCTTATAGTTGCAAACCAGCGGAATAACGCCGGACAGACACGCATTAGCTCACAGGTAAACTCAGTACAATCTTGGACAGACTGTGTGTGAAAATCCGTATTCCCCCTTTCAAGGTTGGATATTCCCAGAAAGTAACCGTTTCTGTGACATGGAAATTTTTAACTTTGCATTTGGGTGAGGAGAGGCAAGAGCCACGACTGACAAAATGTTTTAACCCCCAAAGGTTTTGGTTAATTGTGAGGTTTTAAGATTGACAGATGTAAGATTAACGAGGATGTTTTTTAATCGTGAGGTTTTGAGATTAATATGTTGAGGAATCTCTCTTAAAGGGTTAATCTTTGGACAAGCAAATAGGCAATTTCCGAATTACTTTTGGCTTCTTTTTCAAAACGAGGCCAGGTGCTCAACCATTCTTGTGAAAATGAGTTTAATTTGCATGTGAATGAAAACTTATAATCATATGAAAGGATGAGCACCAGGACTCGTTTTGAAAATGAGGCCACCGGTAATTGGGAAATGGGCTATTGTCCTCTGTTGTAGGAGCCTTTGCTTAGTCTGGACAAAAGTCTATTTCCCTTGAATGAATCTCTCCCAAGGAACTTGTTTCTACTGAAAGCATGTTTTTTTTTTATTTTTTCCAATAAGGGATTTCTATGACGATCCATCGGTTAATTGAAATCTGATGACACAGCGATTGTGAAAGAGCCCTTCAATTTCACAGGCAGCAATCTAGAGATTCCTTTTAGGTTTTATCCTATTTTTGTTGTCGTTGAAGTTAAAAGGGAGACCTCGCGTGTAAAACAAGGATTCAATGACTTTTCTTAGTTTACTTTACTGTTTTCCTTACTCAGGTATATAAATGGCAAGGTGGATCGTTTGTTCTTCAAAGTGTCAATCTGGACAACACCCGCAGTGCTTCTGGCCTGGCGGTGTTTGAAACTGCTGGAACTCTCAAAGTCGCCGTAGCTTTCTTTAATGACAGTGCCAATTCCCAAAGTTTCCAAACTAAATCGCCCATTTATGAATGGAACACGATCTCAGAATCTTTTGCCTTGCTGCAAGAGATCGACACCAGTGGTCCTGTTGGAGTGGAGTATTTCGAACACAAAGGAAAGCATTACTTGGTGTTTGCTAACTCTAAGGCGTCCGTTGATGTATACCGCTGGAGTAGTAACAGGTTTGTCAGCGAACAGGAGCTTCTTGCCGATGGTGTCCAATCAGCCAAACCCTATATTATGCAAGGAAATGGTGAGATACGTACACTTTGCATTGCTTAAGGATATCATTTTGTGGGTTGTTTCTGGTTGTTGCTACATCTCCTGCACCTCTAAGTCTTAAGGTTTTCTGAAATATTTCCGCTTCCTTTTCAGCTTATCTTGTCACAGTTGAGAGTGATGAGCGCTTGAACGTCTACAAGTGGGATGATTCGTCCAAATTTACTCTTCAAAGGGTGGGTATTTAAATAACTTATTTGCCTTTTGCTACCAAAGTACTTTCAAATTGATCAGAGTAGACTTCTTAAAATTAAAGCAACTTTATAAAAAATGCCAAATACTTTTGAAAACTGGCGTTTTTTTTTCGTTTCGTCTCTGTCCTGTTGCCTTGTTCGAATTTTATGCAAACTCTCGAAGCATGGCGCAGAAAGTCCTGTTCACAATTTAAATGTTAGCAGTCTGACTCTCTTCCAACCACAAGCTAATGAGTTACACTTACATCTGTCTCTATTTTTTTTATACACAACTTCTGTCAAACTGTGGGAGACTGACTGTGTTTTTTTTTTTTTAGAATACTACCCTTGCACACGCTCAGAGTGCCATCCCTGTGGTCCTCAATGATCCAGTGGCAGGCGAAATACCTGTGTATGCTGTGGCAGTGTCTGGTAATGGATTGTCTCCTCTTCTTCACCCAGTCAGATTATCTCCACAAGCTGACTTCATTCCAAGGTATAATTCCAACACGAACTCCAAGTCACGCTTGCGTTACTCTGCCTGTTATATGAAAATGTGTTTTTTCCTTATGATCAAGTGAGGAAGCGCGAAGCAAACGCACTAGAACGAATACGGAACGAGAAAAAATTATAAAAATATTCCTTTTCGTTATTTCGTTTGTTTTCTCTTCACCTACCCGGTTCCTTTGCGTTCATGCTTGTCAAACCCCTTGCGGCTGTTTTCGTTTTCGCTTTGGTCGGTTGATCTAAGAGAAAAAAGAAGTTGATCGAACAAACCACATAAAACTTCAAGAGATTTGCCTCGCTCCCAGTCTTAGTGAAGTTGATAGTGACGTTCAACTAGTCTCGGGGAGGCGCAAGTTCAACCCCGTCGAAGCCTGAAGTTTTTCAATTTTCTACAATTTCTTCAATTGAAGTTAACCCGTTACTGAAGATTAATTCGTCAGACTCTTTTATCATCCTATCAACTGTTCAGATCTGATTTATGTTATACCTATTATTTTGATCTGAATCCGAAGCTCGCCCTTTTAGGTTCGTGTAATGGAATCGCATCTACATTGTCATTTCAACTAGTTTCTACACTGTTTAAAACTCAAAAGCACTTGATGTGTTATTTTTTTTGTTACCAAGGTTTCAGTGGGACATTTTACTCAATTCACCAGTTTTTTTCCGTTTCATTATATCAGACAAGGACAGCTCATTTTTCACAACGGACAAAGGGAACTGGAGCTCGATTTTACCATTCTACCTGATACCACCCCTGAGAGGGACGAAGCCTTCACCGTGCATATTTACAACGCTTCGGGAAAAGCGATTGTCAACAGTCTGAAACAAGATTTAACCGTCAATATTTTATCCAATGACGATGCACACGGGCGAATAGGCTTTGCTGCCGACTCGCTTACTAGAGTTCAACCAGAAACAGCGTATGATTCCTTGGTTACATTTGAAGTGATCAGAGAGTATGGAAGCCTAGGGCGTGTTGTAGCTCAGTGGAATGTTTCTGGGAATTTCAGTGACGGAGATCTGAGTCCTTTTTCTGGAGAGCTTGTGTTTGAAGATGGCCAGACCAGTCAAAATATATCAATGACTGTCCACAAGGACGTGGTGCCAGAACTTTTGGAGGTTGCTTATATTAGGTAAGGGCCCCCTCGTATGAACCTGTTAAGCGTGCTGGCTCGTTAAGCGGGGCGTATGCTGTCATCTGTCCAACTAAGAAATTTCATCCCGGCTGTTTGTCTGAAATGTCAGCCAGATATCTTTTAAAATGAATAAAGGCTGATAGTTTCGAAAGAAACTGTTTGGGGCTGCGCGGTGGGAGTAACGAAATAATTTGGATATATCAACAAAGTTGCAAAGGTCGCCAGAGGTGCGACCTTTTCAGCCTTACAACCTGTTTTGTCATCTCTCTTTACCGGGCCTTACTGTTTATACAGGACATTTTCTTCTCGGTTACCGGAATCTGGGACGTGATAACGGGGCTAGCCAGCTTCATCATCTTGAGAATTGCACTATTGCGTAAGGAATAAATAATTAATCGTAATTGTTACCAAATCAATTGGTTGAAAAACTTTATTTCTGGCTTTCGATACCTGATTGTGGAGCTGTTTTATGCTCCTATTTGTTGTTTTGTTTCTGTTTTTTGTGTTTGATTTTATTGTTTGGTTTTTTAACTCGAGTTTTTAATTTTCTATTATTTGCTGATCTTAAAATCCCCTGTCTATTCTTTCAGACTCCTCCGCCTCACAGAAACAGGATCATCAGATGCAAACCGTGGTGCAGTTCTTAACTCAGCTCGTGTAGTCGCCATGTTGGTCATCCCTGCCAATGATGACCCATACGGTGTTATCGGGTGGAAAAACACCCTTCTCATTTCTCAAGAAGACGGTCCTAAGAACATTACCTTATCTGTCGACATCATGCGATGGTTTGGCGCTATAGGAGACATTTTGGTGTCATACGAAACTGTTCAGGTTCCCACTGCGAAATACAGTGACGATCGAGTAGCATTAGCTGGTGTTGATTACAAAACAATGAGCAATACTGTGGAAATTTCAGCTGGACGAAACTCCACGCAGATAACTTTGGATATAGCACATGTAAGTAAAGATAGCTTTGGACGTTGCGGAAAGGTGGGGTCAGTTCAAGCTAAGAAAACACAAAAATGGAAATTCGCTTCAAAAGTACGTTGCGATAAACTACTGCAACTCTTTTTGCTTCCGTTGCGATCAATTTTCAATTGTTTGATGGTTCAAATAACAGCCTTTTATGAGAGTATTGGGAGGAATAAAGTTCTATGACGTCTTTTGTTTTTCTTTGTCTTTTAGTACAACGACACAATGTTAAACAGCATCTTCCATGTGAACATTACCGCTGTAACACTGAAGCAAGGTGTTAAGTTTATGAATTCTCCCCGTATCGATCCAAACTCTCGTTTCCTGGAAGTCGTGATTGCTCAACCGAACCGAACCGTAGGAGAACTCAACTTCGACCTCAGTGTTTTGCTTGACCCTGCGACGAAAACCATCCAGTTGCAAGAGGGAGTGGAGACCTTGAACATCACAGTGCAACGAACAGGAAGTTCTTCAGGGAATGTAGGCTTCCGGTTTATTGCTCGTCCTCTGAGCTCAAGCTCTTACACTGCTGCCGACAATGCGGATTTCTCTCCGAGCGAAGGAACTGTCATGTTTACCTCAGGAGAAACTCGTGCCATCTTAAGAATAAATATCACCAATGACAATATTCCTGAGATTGAGGAGAGTTTCTTCGTTCAGATGAGTCGTCCTTTAGGAGGTGTCCTGATTGGTGGAGTCAGTAAGGTGGATGTCATTATCAAGCCTAACGATGCTCCATATGGACGTTTTGGGTATGTTATATAGCTCATGAGAGGAATCATTGATTAATATATTAGTATATACTAAAACAGTGGATAGCGTTGAAGGCGCGCTCTGATTGGCTTGTCAAACTCCGAATATCCTTTGCTATTTACCTCCGAGCAACTCGGGAAAAAATGGCGTCCCGGTTTGCATCCGTAACAAGCGAAGAAATCACTCAAATTAACGACGAAGCAGTCCCTGAAAACACAAAGAAAGCAACTAAATTTGGTTTGGTCGTGTTTAAAGGTAATGGTGTAAGTTTTTAACTCGGAGTTTATCGATAAAAACCAATGAGAAAGGTTTTGTTTACAAATACAAATTAATCTTGCGTAAACTCACTTGTTCACTTCCGCGCGTGAAAATGTTGGAATCGTTGCTGGAATGTATGAATTAAGATAAATTTTTGGTGGTGTATATTATCTCACTGTTTTAGTATATACTAAAACAACTATTCACCTCAGTGTCGGTGGCTAGCGGTGGATATTTACCTCGCCGCTTCGCGGCTCGGTAAATATCCACCACTAACCACCTCCATTTCGGTGAATAGTTGTTAATTAACCACTTTCTTTCTGATCTACACATTAGAAGGAGCAAGTTTGGAGAATTGTGATCTGCCTGGTATTTCCAATATCAATACTTTATTTCCTGGTAAATAAAGTATTGATATTGATTGATATTGATCCACGCTGAGAGACGCAAGCATAGCAGCTTCAACGATACTGTCAACCGAACGATTTTTCATTAAAAAAAAAAAATAATGCTTTCTCTCTTTTTAAGATGATTTTCATTTCACCTTTTTTTTGGTCCTTATGAGAAGCTATTTCTCCGTTAATTTAGTCCTTACTGACTAATTCAACTTTTAGAAAAGTTAGTACTTGACTCTGACGATGACTGCTGCCCAGGTTTTCGAAACGTCAGTCACCAACACCAACAACAGTCCTTCTCAGGACTACACCCACCCGGACGATCAGACTACACTATCACAAGTTAGTGCCAATGTTACATATTAAACGTCATCTTTGATTTTCAGCTTCACAAAAGCAACATCTGAAAACATCAACATTGTACAGGAAGGATCCACGTTGCACCTTGCGGTTAACAGGCAAGCTGGTGCTTTTGGAGACGTGCATGTCATCTGGAGACTCGCGCCTAACGCCGGAATTGTAAATGCGAGCTCACAGATCTCTCCAATGAATGGCTCACTTACTTTTAAACAGGTAGATATTTGCTTGCAGTTGCACTGACACTTGTACGAACCTGAGTTAGGCTTTACTAAGGATGATGCCGACTATTTTGATGAATATACATCTTTTTTTTTTCGCTGTTTTCTTGGTCGGATGTTTGAGTGAAAAACTCCTGATTTTGCTTGAATAGATATTTTCAAACAAAGACTTTTTTTTTCTTTTAAGTGGCTTGAAGTACTGACCTACTTGATAGAAGTTTAAACGATGATGTCTGTCATTTAGAAAAGGGGTCTTGTGGTCGACTTAAAAACGATAAATTTTCAATATCAGTTCATCAGCACAATCCTGCGGGAAATTTACTCGTTTTAGATAAAACGTCCTCTATGGCGAACGAAAAATCCAACAAACAATAATGAAAGGAAAAAAACAAATCAAAACAAACAATAAAAAATTAACGCCATGATTATATTATGTCAATGTCTTTAGGGAGTCACATCTCAGTTTATCACGCTCCATGCACGTGATGATATGGTGGCAGAGGTGGGTCAGACGTTTACTTGTGAACTGATCAGCGTCGACAATGGCGGGAAACTGGACTCAACTCTGAGTCAAGCCAGAGTTCATATCCCAGCCAACGACGAAGTGGAGGGAATTGTGTCGATTGACCCCAAAACAAGATTTTTGATAGCAGGAGAACCAATGCTGGGTCATGATGGAGTGTTTGTGATACGGTTAGTACGCGTCACGCCAATATGCTATGTAATCTTAAATACCTCATTTTAACCGAGTTTGAGGTCCACACTCTGAAGGTAAAGACCGAGTGAAAGGGTTAGCTATTACATCAGTATGCATATTCTCCCCACTGTTCCGCATATTTGTTATGGTGCTGACGAGGAGAACTTGATAAGTAATCAAGAGCTTCTTTAGTTGGCGATCAGTTCCCTCATTCTCGTGACTTTAATGTTTTGTTTAGAAATGATGCTTTAAAGAGAAATAGGTCGTTCGTCACTTTGTGGGGTTAAAGCTTTGAGGGTAGTGTTTTATTTGTTTTGCGCATTTTGTGACATACTTTGTTATGATCTATCGTTTAGGTTCTTACGTCGAATAGGTCAGTCTGGCAATGCTCAGGTCACGTGGTCGATCACTGCTAATTCACCTGGTGACGCTCCTAGTCCAACAACTACTTTTAACGTGACGTCCGGTACTGTTGAAATGCCGAATGGCGTGACAATGGTCATCCTTCCTATTATGGTGAGCAAACCAAAAATTGTTATTTTTCGTCTTGCATCTTCCTTAGGCATTTCTGCAGACGAATGCAAAAGTACCGTTCTATAATGTATCAACTCGTTAGTGCTGGTCTAAATGGAGTTTGTCGGTAATAAAACCAACTTCTCCACCTTAAGAGTCAGCCCCTGAAAATTAATGTAATTAATTAATTTAATTTGATTTAATCATTGGTAAATCAATACATTTTTCATTACTAGGAAAAACAGAGAAGCGTTCCTTTATCAAGCCTTGCCTTTTTTCCATTTCTCGCTGACAGGAGTTTAGGACTTTATTTTGAGTGAAATAATTTTTCTTTAAGCGTCAGCTTTTTAAGATTTATACGTTAGGGTTTTGTATTTTGTACGTAAGAGAAGATATAACTTAGTCTTCAGTGCCAAAAGCTTTCGATGCAAGTGTTTGACAAACGGCTGAATTCTAGTGGATAGTCGACTAGGTTTTTCTGGTTTTGAAAATAGTAACGGTATATTATTTTATAATTATTATTATTATTATTATTATTATTACCATTATAATTATTGCTATTATTATTGTTATTATTATTATTATTATTGTTATTGTTATTATTATCATTATTATTATTATTATTGTTATTAATCTGATCGTAAGCTTGTGTACAGTCGGGCGAACGATAAACGTAAAAATTAAAGACCAGAAACTTGCTGTGCATGAACATTTAAATCGAGGGTATAATCAGCTCGATCGAACACATACCTATGAAGTACTTGCACGGTCCAATAACCTTCATTGAAGATGCATAATTTCACTGATAGTATCCACTTAAATAGGTGAAGGACGATTCCACTCCAGAAGAGCTAGCCGTGTATAATTTTGCCTTGACTGGCTCCACCCAGACAAGCCTTGATTCGTCGCAGAGTGCACGGAGGGCACAGATTACTGTGGTGGCCAGCGACGACCCGTATGGAATCATCGAGTTCCAGTCGGCTTCAATGCTAAATGTTAGCGAAGATGTTGGCTTTGTCAATCTCACTATCGTAAGAAATAGCGGTAGCATTGGCGAGCTGTCAGTTAACTATAGCGTCTCGTCGACCACTGCGACCAAAGGAAGTGATTATGAGTCGTTTGAGAGTGGTATGTTAAATATCCTTTGTTTCTTGTGCTCACGAGCGGCGTGAAACTTTCCATCTGACTAGACACGATGCGGTAAACATTCAGCTTTACATACTGTGGAACGTTCGGCACTGCAAATTTGTCATTTACAAGAAGAACTTTCTCTTTTCCCCTCTGTGCGCTGATTAAAAACTGATAATGCAGTCGAGTCGAAATTTCAATTTTTTGTGATTAGATATTGACTCTTATTTAGGCAAAATTTGTCAAACATTCCTAAGGTGTATCTATTACGAGAGAGAATCTTTGACCTGTTTGTATTTTTTGGGTTTTTTTAAGATAAATCTTTCCTTTTTCAGTGCTCAAGTTCGCTGATAAAGAAGACCAAAAGACTATTCATGTTCTTATCAAGAAGGACAACATACCTGAACTCGCCGAAACAGTTACAGTTGAATTGCTCAGTGTAGAGCTTGTTTCTGGTTCGCCTAAGAATTACAGTACCATTGATGGATTACCTCTAAACACAGCACCTAGGATCAGCCCTGCTAAGGACAAGGTCATGGTTGTTATTGCTGAGAATGACGACGCTCGTGGAAACATACGCTTCACACAGAGTTCTCAACTGGTGCGCGAAAAGAGTGGAGCTGCGGTATTGGAACTCGTTAGAGAAGGTAAATTACGATAGAGCACTGGTTTCTTATTTAGACAAAGATTAAAATCACTTAGAAATTCCTTAACAAATTAATATGGTCGACCGACGTTTTCATTTTTCCCTCATAAAGGTGGTAACCTTGGAGCTGTAGAAGTCGCATTTTCAGTGAGGAACGGAACTGCCTTCCTCGGTGAGGATTTCAAGGAGGCCGGAGGAATTGCTCGATTTTCTGACGGACAAACGTCGACGTTTATAAACGTTACAATCATCGACGATGCTGTCCCAGAGCAGCGTGACTACTTCACTGTCAGGCTAGACTCAGTGACAGGAGGCGCCAAATTAGAGTCGCCAACGACCGTGACTGTTACCATAGAAACGAGTGACGACCCTGGGGGACTGTTCGGCTTTGTAAACAGTTCTGTGCTTTCACTTGTTAATCCGAGTCAGTCTAAAGACTTCAATTTTGTCATCCAGCGAGAAGGAGGAGCTGAGGGAGAGGTGGAAGTGAGTGAATTTTAAAATCTTTTCGAGATCGGAAATATAATTTCTCTAAGTAATTACCGTCCAAATCTTTGGTGGCTAGTTGTAAGAATTTTGATGTGTAATGTAAACAAGAAAAAATGGAGGAATAAAGGAGTAGGATCAAGGCCTTGCCCTTGGTATGATTTTATACCGTGTAAGTTCTACAGAGACAGTCTCTTGAAGGAAAGATTATTTTCCGAGACTACCGCATTTAACCTCAACTCGAATTGATTTCTTAAAAATATTGGTTTTGCTTCCTCCCCGTGGTGGATACACTTGTAATGTAGTGTAGTCGTTTGTCGTACAATTTAGTCACTCCCGATGTGGATTCCGACGTTTTGACTGCATGCTGCGAGTCTCTCTCGGGCTACAAGGTCAACTGGATAAGCCTTACCTTATGAACCATTATGCTCAGCTGTGAGCATAATCCACAACGCAAGTGACTACAATTACTACGTTACTACATCATGAACTAAACCTTTCATTTAAGGTAAACTCGAATTGATTTTGTTGTGCTCTAGGTGAGCTGGAAGGTGATTAGAATCCACCCTCCGTGCGTTTCTTGTTCAGTACGCAACGACTTTGAAGGGCCTACCGCTGGATCCAGTGTGTTTCCTGATCAGGCTGTGGGGGCCACAAAGACTGTTAGACTTCGTGTGAGACCTTACTTAGGTGAGATTACAGTTATATAAACTCAGTGTCTAGGACAGGAGCCAATTGTTCTAAAGGCAGATTATGCCAAAACAGGATTAAAGATGAAGCTTTTCATTTCTTTTCTGGATGCCCATTCTGCAGGCTAATGTCGTTTGCGGTTTTATCTAACGAGACAGTTGCAATTACGACGAAAACGAGTTCCAAACAAAACAGGTGTTGATCACATGCCCCTGGTTTACTGACTTATCGGCTGAACGGCTCTACGTGACCAAATAAGTCTTTGAGCTCGGAGGCAGGGAAATTCTGCTACATTCTTTTTTTGCCCGTAAAAGAATCTGATCACCAGGAGATAATGTTTTTTTTTTACGATTATATGAGGTAGCTTAATCGTGATTTTCATAGAGTTTCTCATAAGTATAAAGCAATAATTCTTTCAGTTTTTCAATCTATAAGTTTTGGAAATTTTTCGAATGTCAGTTCAATCAGCTGTGGATCCTAACAACCTTTCTTAGTTAACTTTTTAATTTAGAAAGACAAGAAAAGACAGCACTTCTAAGGAAAATGTCAGACTCATTTAACTGTTTTGTTTCTTTTACCTCATAGGTTTTGACGAACCTGAGGAGCGGTTCATTTTATCAATTTATAAAGTGTCTGGTAACGGAACCATTGACGGCTTGACGTCAAACATCACCATTATAATTGCCAAACATGGTTTCCCCAACGGGGTGTTCGGATTTCAGAGCACTACCACGAGGGCGTTCGATGAGCCAGCGACTGGGGTCGAAACTCCTCAGTTTACAGTCGAGAGAACGAATGGCACCCAAGGAACAGTAAATGTGAGTAGTACCTGTTAATTTAGAGCGATTGTCAGTGGACAGCCGAAACTTATTCGAAATTGCTTTGGCTTCGCTTGACTATAAAATCGTTGGTATTTCAAGTTTTCTTGAAAAGTTTTAATGTTCAATCATGTTTAAGGTAAATGATGTATGAAGGATCAATAGCTCCAAAACGTCTTTGAACGGCCTGTAAATCCAATTAGAGCGAATTTCTTGCAACCACAACCAAAGTAATGCCAACCAAAGAGAATTGCTTACAAAGTTAATGTAAGCCCAAAGTAAGAACAAGTAAACTGCCTGAGGTGCTGGAAAACCCAAGTGACCTAGCTTTGAATTTTGCATTTGATTTTTTATGAAGTTGCGCGAGTTTCCAGACCAGTTGTAGAGAGACATCAAGCAAAGCTAAAACAGTTTACGTTTGATACTACTACCAAAATAGGTTTCAGTTGTTTGGAAGTTTGAGGTTTAATTGTGTCGAGAAAAAGTCGATTGTGCGGGTAATTATATAGGATTACGCAATATTGGATGAACCAAATATCAAATATGTGGATTCGTGGTTTTTCTTTACTTAGAATGTGCTTCCAAAGTAATCGGACACGTAGCACACTCGCTCAAACAGAGCCTTTTTTTACAGGTCATATGGCAGATAACCAGTCCAATAGGTTCTCCGGGCTCACGTGACATATCAAGTACTTCTGGTTCGGTGACCTTCAATCCTGGGGATTTCTTGAAGAACATTCTCGTAGAGATCACAGCAGATGATGTTCCCGAGCTGGAGGCTGTTTATACACTGTCAATACTGTCTGTAGACGGCGGTGCAGATCTCAGCCCTTCTCCCCGGAATGTCACATTTAAGATAAGGTAAGTGGGCAGTGTTTTCAGACTCTAAGCCTATAAATCTCTCATTAAAGAAGACCCAGATAACGGCTTGAGCTTTTTGAAAATACAAGACTAGATTAGGCTATCTATGAACCTGCTGAGTAGCATACGGTATCATAATCAACCATGGATCTCCACCGGACTTTATTTTGATGTCGATGTTCCTCTTAGCGAGCTCGTTTTAGACATTGCGTCTCCAGGAGTCTTTTGGACAGCCTCCTTTGTAAAATGGAGCCATATTTTTTGTAGCTGGTTGATCGTAGTCGGTGTCTATTCTCTCTATTCTAAACCATCCTTGTAACCTTTTGGTTGATTCTCGACTTCTTGGCTTTATTCTACTCTCACATACCACTATTTAAAGGATTCCTTCGAGTAAACGACCCATCAACTATTGCCTCGCTTAAATAGAGGGTGGGTGCCTGGGGTTTTTAATAGATGTCCGCTGAGACTAGCAAGCCGTCAGATAGCGAGCCACCCCTATCCCAGACACACGTCGACGTCGACTAGTATAGTGACACTATGAAATGGTAATGGCAAAATGAGACACTTTATTTGTAATAAATGCTATTTTGTTCTGATTATCACCAATGTAGACCAAACGATGACCCTCATGGAATTTTCAAGCTTCAACAAGGTGCGCAGAAGATTCACGTCTCCGGAAACAGTCGGCAGTTGCAGTTTTCTGTGGTACGCGAGAAGGGAACGTTTGGTGCTGTTGATGTGCAGTACGAGGTGCAGCACTCTGATGGCTTACCTGCGGACGCACAAGGAAGTATTACGGTGCCTGATAAGCAGAACCAGGTAACAAGGAGTAACTCTTTGAAAAAGATCCATTTTGCCTTGGCCGTGTGTTGTTCGTCTTTAAAGCCCACGTAAAGCTAAGCTAGAATTAAGTAAGAACGACGGCAAGTGTGTCACTGATGTTCGTAGCACATTTTGATTTTAAGTGGAATATATTTGTATCTTACAATGAACTTAAGAGCAAAATGAATTTAAAAAAAATTGAATTGGCTTCTTTGTGTCTCTGTATTTCAAATTGCGAGGGGAATTTTTCGCCTCGATTTTTGTTTCATTTTCTAGACTTTGCTAAACATTTATTCTTGGTCTTCGTATTCTGCGACGTTATTGTAAACATTTTCAAAATGGTGCACTCTGATGGAAAGAATGATATTAATGAAAAAATGAATAATGGATGTGTGAATCAGAATAAAAAATGAAACTTTTAATGACGTCAGCCGTGTATTACTGTTTACCCAGCTATCATATAGAGAAACACAAATTTGCTTTGCTATAGGAATGGTACGGAGTTACGAAGGCGTTTTTCTAACCAATTACGCCCAGTTTCACCTTTGGGGGAACAGCGTCGCACGTGAGTTGTGTTTGTAATCGCAACTTACTTTTAATGTTTTCTTGGCCATTAGGGTTCTGCAAGTGTTGCCTTGACAACCTTCTTGGCGCTGGGTTCCACATTTACTATTACACTGACTGGAGTTCGTTACAGCGATGGTCAAGGTAATTTGTAACTCTACGTTTAGACGCCTCTATCCAAAAGTAAGTTTTGGTCATGGAAATAGGTAAAATGTGATGAATTTTACGGCTTGTCTTTCAGTTCCAGCCACTTCAATCGCCCCTAAACTATCAAGCAACTCACCAAGTGATACAAATGAGACAGTTGTGGTACCGGAGGATGCAGCTAACGCTGTTTTCAAGTTTGCTGATGAATCTTTGAGACTGACTGTGGATGCAGGTGCGGTAACAAACATTTCTTTGTTTTGTGCCATTGTTGACCTTTTGTGCTCGGGTCAGTGGGTTTCGTTACAGGGCTTTTAGTCGATTCAACTAAAACACTAAGAAGGTGATTTTAGACCAATAAGGACGAAGGAATTCTAAGGAGGAAGAAGATTGAGACAGAATGCAAAACATTTACTTGAAAAATACATTTTCAAATTAAAAACTCTGACTTAGGTCTCCTGACCACCGATGTAACCAATCCTTTCTGCAACGGATCCTTAGGAGAGCGCAGCACTGTTTAGACGAATTGATCACAAGACTACATTTTGGTCTTCTTTGGTTTCCTTGTCTCGCGTTTCCGCTGTATTTCATGAAATATGTAGTGAATAGGAATCTTAATGCGTTGCTCCTCTTTGTTCGTAGGTGACAGTGTACCGTCGATCAAAGTGATACGCACAGGTTTGTTTGGAAGTGCTACAGTGGATGTCAGGTCTGGATTTCCGTCTAAATCTTTTGATGGTTTTGCGGCTGGAAAAGTGCTTCCAGCCAGCCAATTACTGTCATTTACTGGATCGAAGAAGGAGGATTCTTTCTCTGTTCAGGTAAGTATCTTTAAAAAGCATGCGAGTCGCCAGTGTGTCATATTGACTTTGCATTATAGCTGAAATAACTGGTTTGCGGATGAGAGAAAGTAAGGAACTGCATTCTCTTACTGAAGGTATCTACTTGCAGAAACGGTCGGTGCCAAAAGACGTAGTTTTTTGTAACTTGTGATGCAGGCAGTTTTTCATGCGCACGCGCACGATAGAGCAACGTTCATTTTCTCTTTCCTCTTGGGACACTGCCCGCTCGATGTTTTTTCTTTACTACGTTTTGTTCCGAGTTATGTTATTAATTTTAAACACAGTATATAGTTTTTGCAACTAGTGTTACTCTGTTCTAGATATGGGATTGCTTTAAAAATGAATTTTTATCCACTCGCTTCGAGAAATTGGAGTTTCATATGTCAGAGTGTAAGTCTTTTTGTAGCGGGTAGCGGTTGGAATTTTTCTCTCGCTTTTGCAATTAGTTAGTTTATATCATTCACTTTTCTGGGAGCACCCTTCTCAGTGAAGACACTTGTAGCATTTGTTACACAGTGATTTATCTTTTCCTGTGTTTGTTGTTAGGTTTATCCAGTGCTTGTCCCTGATAAAAAGCTGGTTTATTCCGTGTACCTGGCCTCTGCAAAAACTCCAAATGCTGTCCCAGGGGGCGCAGCGGTCATGTTTGGAGCCAGCCAGACAGCACTCATTGAGTACAGCGGAGTCGTCCAAGTTGCTCCTGACTCGCAACATCTAGCAACTTCTGAAGGTGGAAAGGTAAACATTTCTGTGGAATAGTATTACCTTTCGTATTTCTTCGTTGTCTGCCATACAATTCTTATAATGTTCGTCCTAGGAATTTGGTTTTGATTAACTGATAATTTCCTAATTGATAGTTTTCTGTATTCTCTTTACTTGTCTGCTTAATACTGAACTGATATTGTTGGGAGAGATTCTGTCTTGGTCGTTCACAGGAGTTAAAAGGTTTTAGTTCTGACCGAGGTTGTTGTGACGTTTTTTTTAGAAGGAACCTGTACGGTTAGAGGCTCTCTCTTCACTTGGAAGTAAGAGTGAGAAGTGGCAGATTGTCAAGGG